TACACTCACTCCACACATTCTCCTGTGCTATCTACATGTATAAAACCTTGTTCCTAAATGCTAATCTTAATCTGAAACATTTTCTTGATGTGTGTAATAGAACCCATGGGCACCACACCAGAAATAAATATCTCTTTGATATCCCCAGTCAAACTCTAATTACTCATTACTCCTCTAATTACTCAACACAATTCTGCCATTAGATCAATAACACACTCTGGCCCCAGACAACACTCGGTGCCCTTACTTAAATCTTTGAATATGTGAGATATTAAGTCACTGCACATCCTCTCAAGATTGATTGATTGATAAAGATTAAGCCACCCAAGAGGTAGCACGGGCATGAATAGCCCGTAAGTGGTGGCCCTTTTGAGCCATTTCCAGTATCAAAAGATGATACTGGAGATCTGTGGAGGCGCAACTGCACCCTGCGTGACGGAAGATGTCTCCCGGACCAAATGGTGACCAAATGGTGATCCTCTCAAGTGTACTCTGTATATTTAAAACTCTGAACTGTAATGGCAATCCTGACCTTAAACGCTTCCTAGAAGGTTGTAACAGAACCCATGAGCACCACACCAGAAACAAATACCTATTTGATATTCCAAGAGTGCGACTTAACCAAACTAGAAATGCTCTACAATATCAAGGGACCCAGAATGGGGAATGACCTTCCCAATCACGTCAAAGGCTGTACCTCTCTCGACCAGTTTAAGAGGAAAACTAAGTATACTACCTAATAAACTCCATGTAACCTACCTTACCCCCTAAATGTCAACCCATGTCTTGCTATTTTCAAACAACACTGTTTGTTGACCAACTTGTATGACTGCTGATTTCTGCCATGTCCACCCCCCCTGCGCTTGTCCAACCACTTGGGCTGGAAGGAAGAGCGACGGTCTCGCTTCATGCAGGTCGGCGTTCAATCCCCGACCATACAAGTGGTCGGGCACCATTCCTTCCCCCCGTCCCATCCCAAACCCTTATCCTGACCCACTTCCAAGTGCTATATAATCGTAATGAACTGGCGCTTTTCCCTGATATTTCCCATTCCCCCCTCCCTTTTCAACTCAATTTATATTTTGAACTCAATTAGTAAATATAGTAAATCAATATTGTTTTACAATATTTTGTAAATCAATTAAAAAATAAATATCAACAACGATATAGTAAATCAACTATGTATGTACTTTTCCTGAATACAAAATTTAATTTAGTTTAATTTAATTAGTATTAAGTTTTAGTTTTAGGTTGTTTTTTCCCCACACCTTACCGGGAACGCTGTGTGTATTAGTGACTTTAGGTATTGTATGTACGTGGGGGTTTATTATTCTACACATACTTCTAATGACTCTTAGATGTTCACATTCTCTCAGGTAGTGGTCAAGGCGGTGTCCATCACTCTCGCTACAGATTCTGCAACTCCTCTGCTCAACTGTTGTTTCCATTCCAAATCTCCATGGATATTTGTATCCACAACGGATTTTTGCTATTACTGATTCTCTCCCGCGGCCATCTTTTCTTCGTTCATATTGATTACGGTTGCCAGCAGCAACCACATTGTACCAGCGTACAGATTCCCTGATTTGTTCTTTTATCTCCCTTGACTCAGTTGCTATGACGGTGATATTACCTGATAATAGCTCTAATTTGTAGAAGAGTCTTGGGTAAGAAGCATTCAATATGGTCTCTTTCAGCGCCTTCAGCAGCCAGCACATCTGCTCGTCCATTTCCACAGATTCCAACATGGAAGGGAATCTATAGGAATTTGACGACTCCTCCCTGATTGGTTAGTATTCTTACAGCTCTCTTGATTTCAGCAACTATTGCAAGATTTTCTGCCCGATTTTGACTAAGGCTTTGTAGCGCTGCTTTTGAATCAGCGCAGATCACTGACTGCACCATTAGGGTTTAGTTCAAGCAATCTTAACGCCATAACAATGGCAGTTAGCACTGCTTGCATTGGAGACAGTGCTCAATATGTGCTTTTTCTTCATTTCTGTGTTGAAAGGCATTATTCCTGATTACAGTGCATGCTGCACCAGCCCTGCCATTAACAGGATTAGATGACCCATCGGTGTAGATATGATCTAATTCATTCCAAGCTTCTTTATAAATTTCCTCTAGATACCTGTACCTTATTTCTTGTGGCATCATGTTAGACTTTTTCATTGTCATTTCGATCATAATCCTGCATGGGTCATCCTCCCAGGGAGGTAACCTCTTTACAGGCATGAGCTTACGTGCTTGCTCAAGCAGGTTAAGTTCTTCGAGGTAGCAGACTGATCTGTGATGCCATTTTTTGCTTCCGTTTCCTCCCGTAAGTAGCACAGAACTTTAGTTTTTTCTTGCTAATATCATTGTAATGGGGATCTCTGGACATTGAAGATGTCCACGACAACTGTGGACATCAAGAGAAAATTAGATTTTTTCTAAAAAAAGAAGTGCCGGACCAACCGGGCTGTGGTGGGTATGTGGTCCACCAAGCAACAGCCTGGTGGACCAAGCTCTCAAGTCAAGCCTGGCCTCGGGCCAGGCTTGGGGAGTAGAACTGCTCCCAGAACCCCATCAAGCAAGGAATAAAGCAGGTATCATTTGTAGCCTAGTGGTTTTGTGTGCGCGCTTGGGAGTACCCAGTGTATGGGTTCCAATCCTCCTCACAGTTCCTAATGATCCTCTTGTTGATACATCACATTAACCTGATTTCACGCTGCACTACACTATTTAAATAAAAAAGTATGTTTTTAAGAAACGATTACAGTACTATTTAAAGCACACTAAATTGAAAAAATAAATGTCCTGATATTTTTGTACCGAATTAGACCAGGATTTTGCATAGCTCTGGTATGGGGGCAGGTTCTTGAAACAAAAATACTATTCATAATTATTTGTATTTTATTATAGAGTACAGTAATTGATTTCTTTAAACAAAATATACATGAGATTCTCTATCTACAGGACTGAAAGTCAAAACCATGACTTACCTCACACTAATTTTATAACCATAATATTGCTGGTCCATAAAAAACACATTCTAAGCTTTAAATACAAATCGACAGCCTCAATATTTACTCAAATTTGTACATTACTACGTGTGAAAAAACATTCCACATCTATTGAACAGTTGAATGAATTTGTTATATATTCAATGCCATTCAAGTTACATTTATATCATCTTATTTCTGAATAATATATATTCATATGGAAATGTATATTTCCCTTATTAAGGCTACTCATAGCCCAGTCCATAAGCCTATGGCCTCACATGTGGGGTCCACGGTCCATGACCCACACACCCCAGGTTAATGGAATACACTATATTCATTAGTATGACAAAGTCACAAATTCCTATTTTGAGTTAAAAATATTTTGATCAATTTCTAGCTTGTCTGCTTCTGCATTCTCATCATAGCTGAAGTTGGCACCAAAACCTATCAAAATATGTACCGTATTTTGTAACTTCTAAATACTCTAAGTAACACATACCTTGGCAAAAAAAAAAAAAAAAAAAAAAAAAAAAAAAGGACTCCTGTCAACAACATAGTACAGTATTCTGCAATTATTTATATACCAATTAATACTAATCAAAGATTTATATATTATTAAGAGTGGGAAATGCCAGGTAACTGTCGCATATTCGAGAAAGCTTAACTTCTCCTACAGATTAATCTTAAAATCTGTAAATACATCTATTTGATTTTATACAGGTCTCCAATAATGTTAATAATGCAGCAAAGATAAATACACGACATACAGTATAATGGCGCACTTGAAATTTGCCAAATGAGAGCCCATACGGTCTCCTTTAATAACGTATGGCAGACTAGATGAAAATCAACTCTTCTAATAGGCATGCATGCACACACACTACATTATCTGTCCTGATTGATGTATTTATCATTTATGTACTGAATTGAGAATTGTTAATTAAATTATGTAATACACAGCTACTTAATTTTATAGAGTACCTTTAGTTTCTTGGATGTGGACAACAAAATATCCTTCTCAAGGTGTTGTGGGGATTAACTACAACAGTTGTATTATGCACAGGAACAACTAATGTAGTCTTGGAGAAGTAATTCTTGTGTTCTTACCTGTGAGTATTCTGATAAAGTGAGAATCGGTAACAAATGGGAGTGACAACCGAGGGAAGAAAATATTTCCGGGACGAGGGTTCGACCTCCACTGTACTACAGAGGATGAGTCACAACAATATGGCTGAACATATGATGACTAAACCACACCACAAGATGGAGAAACGACGATGTTTCATCACATACGACTTGATAATGGTCCAAGATGGACCGAAACATTGTCGTTTCTCACTCTTCTCGTGTGTGGTTTGGTCGCCATTGTACTGCCTCAACAGCTTTTTGCAGAGACATTGCATTCTTGTGAATTCGCTGTGTGTAGAAACTTGCTGCTGTGGTTCACCAACAAGGGAAAAACACTTTTCCAGCTAACATTCTACAAATGAGTTCAGGGATGCAAGTTTGATCAAACTATATGGCCTCAATATTTTCTCATTACAACATTATGTTCTCGTGATTTCATTGTGCGCGAACCCTGAAGAGTATGCAATTTGTTTTCCGGTGTTTCTCAATAGAGTGTACACAGTTCCAATGCAACTTACCCTCTCACCTGATGCATTTTATATGCTAGAGTCCCCAACATACATAATAAGGGGGTACTAAAAAACGTAGCAGCTCATTCTTATCCGTGTTTTCAATGCATAGTTTGATTAGGTTAAGTGGGTGGCTTGGGTTTGCATGCTCTAGTAACTCTGATTTTGCATGTTGCGGCAAGTTGAGAGAATGGCCAGCACAATGGGCCAACACTCCTTGTGTAGTTTCTTACATGCTTGCTAGTGGGAGGGAGCCGGTCGGCCGAGCGGACAGCACACTGGACTTGTGATCCTGTGGTCCTGGGTTCGATCCCAGGCGCCGGCGAGAAACAATGGGCAAAGTTTCTTTCACCCTATGCCCCTGTTACCTAGCAGTAAATAGGTAGCTGGGTGTTAGTCAGCTGTCACGGGCTGCTTCCTGGGGGTGGAGGCCTGGTCGAGGACCGGGCCGCGGGGACACTAAAGCCCGGAAATCATCTCAAGATAACCTCAAGAAGATAGTGCTTAAATAGCAGCTGCATTACACGGGCTAATAATAAATTGGTAATTATCAAAAGACAGCACCAAGTCGGGGACACTAATAATAAATCTTCTCATGTTCTTAAGTCACGTGACACAATCGAGAGGAATGAAATGTATGAAAACATTCAACAACACTTTACGAACTTGTTCTAATATTCTAACCACTTTGGATGATCAGGGAACGCAACCATGAGCTCCACATCCACGACAGTGTATTAGCCAACTTGTACTCGCCTAATTGTGCTTGCGGGGGTTGAGCTTTGGCTCTTTGGTCCCGCCTCAGCTTGTATGGACAGAGCAATGCTAACCAATCCCCACACACATTGTCACAAAACAAAATCCAATGATTCTCAAGTACTAATTTTAATAAATTGCAGAATCTTCCTACTTTTCTTCACTGCATGAAAACACAAATGCATACATAAATGCTTTTGACAGTTTCAGTAAAGAGTACCACAAAATAAAATACTATAGGGAGGCATTTTTTCAATTTGTTCAAACCTTGAAATAAATATACTGTACAGCAGCTTAAATATACGTGGATAAATGGCAGACCTATTATCAGCTACACTCCAATAGCTAATTTTATATCTGTACTTTTCTAAGGCATAATAAATCCTATTTCGCAAAATTCTTGACAGGATAATGGTCCTCGTATTCCTCGACATGAGCATTCATGTACTCATACTGGTCTCTGTGGGAAAAAAATGGGCAAATAAGTAATTATCAAAAGAAGGCACCAAGTCTGGAGAACTATTAACACCATTTGCAGCACAAAACAATAAACTATATCTAGATATCATTTAGGACGCCAATCCGGGAGCAAAAATGACAAGACGAGCACTGCTAAAAGTATCAGATTCACCAAGGATTTTATGAAGGAACATTAATTAGTGCACTGCATTAAAATATGACACCTCCCGGGGTGTGCAGAAAATAAATTATTTCCAAAAAATTATTTTCTCTTCTTATATTGTTAAAATGTGGTCTCTGGTCACGGGAACTTAAAATAAAAGACTATGTGACAAACTTTAGCCGTGATGGAGCCGAGAAGTTGAGGAATTTATGGGGCGCTCGGGGACACTGGACTCCGCCACCCCGTGGGGGTGGCAGTTGCCACGAATATAATTTTTCATATTTATTTCAATGTCTCTCATTCGTTTTTCTGCTTTTTTTTTTTGCTGTAATATTATTCAAACGTGTGTAAATAGTAAAATTTATATAGTTCAATGTGTGGAACATGGCTATGTTCAAAATTTTGGAGCTCATATATGGTGACATGTATATTATATTCCAAGATCAATCAAACAGTGTTTTTTGCTGTTAGTACACGACATACACACACACACACATTGTATATAATTATCTACAGATTTGTGCACCATAAAGATTGTGTGACCATTACTGCCCCCACCAGAACAGCTTAGTGGTTCATAATCACACAAGTAAATGTAAATAATATACAAGTGTGTATACAGCTTAAAAAAAAAAAAAAAGTACTGTACTCTTAAGCAAATAATATAGACACATCTTAGCGATATGAATATATTTGAGCATTCCGATGTTCCACATATTTTGTTATATAATATTCTCAGTCACGCATATGAATAACATTACTGAAAAGGAAGGGGGGGAGGGGGGGGAACTAATCAGAGACACAGAAATAAACATGTACAGGGGTACCTCGGTTTAAGAGTTTAATCCGTTCCTGGAGACGACTCGTATTCCGAAAACTCGTATTCCGAAGCTAATTTCCCCATAAGAAATAATGGGAAATGAATTAATCCGTTCCTGACTACCCCAAAAACCCCACATCAAACTAAATTTTTATACCTAATTCATCTAAATAAACCTACAAAACTATGTTCAAGCTATTACTTACCTTGCTGTTGAATGCTGTAGGCGTATAGAAGATGGTGAGGAGGGGGAAGGAGGAGAGGAGTTACTGTTTGGAAGGGGAGTCCCCTTCCATTATAACATCAGGCAGTGAGGACTTCACTGGTGAGCACACACTGGCACATTTTGCCTGCATACCACTAGGACTTGTTTGTCTTACTAAGAATCTGTCTAAAGACACTTGTTTTTTCCTACATTTTAACACTTGTCTGTAGTAAGACATCACATTATCATTTAAAAGGTCAATGCAACGGCCTGCTACAGCTTTATCTGGGTGAGTTTTTTCAACAGAACTTTGCAGTTCTTCCCATACTTCACACATTTTCTTAATCAAGAAGGGACATCCTCTACTACCTCTACTCACAGCTATTTTCTTAGGTTGAACCTTATCAATGGCTTTCTTGAGACCCATGGCGAGATATATAATAACAACTTTTATGCTCAAGTGGCCAAAAAACCGACATAAAACTGTAAATCCTTGTGAAGAATTCAGGTGGGATAGTCACTGGGCGGGAGACAATGGTAAACTGAGGGGCGGAGGGGCGACGATCACCGTACCACCACGCGCTAGGTCGGCCTGAACGCGCATCAACAAACTCGCGTTCCGAGGTAACCCTCGCCTACCGAGACACATTTTCCGAGGAAATCCGGCTCGTATTCCGAAAAACTCGCATACAGGGACACTCGTGTTCCGAGGTACCACTGTAAAACACATTCACGGCAACTCTGGCCTGACAGCTGGCCCCGGGCAACCACCTCAGGGCGACAGTTTTTGTTTTTGTTTTAGATATATACAAGAGTTGTTTCATTCTTGTACTGCTGCAGGTAACGACCTCAGGGCGACTACCTGACAACTGGCTCCGGGCAACGAGCTCGGGGCGACTGCCTGACAGCTGGCTTCGGGCAACCACCTCAGGGCAACTGCTTGACAGCTGGCTCCGGGCAACTACCCCGGGGCGACTGGTTGACAGCTAGCTGCGGGTAACATCCTCGGGGCGACTGCCTGACAGCTGGCTCCAGGCAACAACCTCGTTTCGGCTGCATGACAGCTGGCTGCGGGCAACGACCTCAGGCCGACCGGTTGACAGCTAGCTGCAGGCAACCCCCCCGGGGCGACTGCCCAATTAATGCCCATGAATTGTGACGTCATGGCGAGGGTTTCTGGCTTTACTCCGGCCAAGTCAGTCACATACAAAATGTCTATTATTTTTCCCATGATCAGAGGAAAAATCATTTTAACATTAGAAGTAACAAAAAAATTGGCGTAACTTTTTTTCATTTTACGCACACCAACAATGTTGGAGCAACATTGGTGGAGCCAAGAGGTTAAATGCACCACGCGATAGAATAGGTCAAATGAAGAGTTACCATAGGGAAAATGAATACAGTATTCATGGCACAGTATCATTTGTTTCAGTTCCAAACCTAACTTAATAATTTGCTAGTAACCTTAGCCTAAGGCAATAATACATTTATAAGACTTTACTAGTTGTTTTATATTTTGTGTAAAGCTGGAAAGCAACATCCTTGCATATAATATTCCCTAAACAAACATTTTGGGGCCTCGTATGAATAGCCTGCACCTGGCCATCCAAAATCCAGTTATTTTGGGCCAAGCCCATTGTGAACAACAAGGCAAATGGGGAGGGGAAGGTCCTCTGACAAGCCACTGGCCTCCTGTCCTCGTCGAGGCCACTAGTGTTGGTGGCCCTCGGGTAAATCGGATAAATCAGGAATTTTATACATTTTTGATAGTGATAAACATGTGTTGCCTCCCTCCACACTCCCTCATAACATGTGTCATCTCCCCCAGTTCTTCCCCCTCCACACTCCCTCATAACATGTGTTACCTCCCCCAGTTCTTCCCCCTCCACACTCCCCCATAACATGTGTCATCTCCCCCAGTTCTTCCCCCTCCACACTCCCTCATAACATGTGTTACCTCCCCCAGTTCTTCCCCCTCCACACTCCCTCATAACATGTGTTACCTCCCCCAGTTCTTCCCCCTCCACACTCCCCCATAACATGTGTCATCTCCCCCAGTTCTTCCCCCTCCACACTCCCTCATAACATGTGTTACCTCCCCCAGTTCTTCCCCCTCCACACTCCCTCATAACATGTGTTACCTCCCCCAGTTCTTCCCCCTCCACACTCCCTCATAACATGTGTTACCTCCCCCAGTTCTTCCCCCTCCACACTCCCTCATAACATGTGTTACCTCCCCCAGTTCTTCCCCCTCCACACTCCCTCATAACATGTGTTGTCTCCCCCAGTTCTTCCCCCTCCACACTCCCTCATAACATGTGTTGTCTCCCCCAGTTCTTCCCCCTCCACACTCCCTCATAACATGTGTCATCTCCCCCAGTTCTTCCCCCTCCACACTCCCTCATAACATGTGTTACCTCCCCCAGTTCTTCCCCCTCCACACTCCCTCATAACATGTGTTACCTCCCCCAGTTCTTCCCCCTCCACACTCCCTCATAACATGTGTTACCTCCCCCAGTTCTTCCCCCTCCACACTCCCTCATAACATGTGTTACCTCCCCCAGTTCTTCCCCCTCCACACTCCCTCATAACATGTGTTACCTCCCCCAGTTCTTCCCCCTCCACACTCCCTCATAACATGTGTCATCTCCCCCAGTTCTTCCCCCTCCACACTCCCTCATAACATGTGTTACCTCCCCCAGTTCTTCCCCCTCCACACTCCCTCATAACATGTGTTACCTCCCCCAGTTCTTCCCCCTCCACACTCCCTCATAACATGTGTTACCTCCCCCAGTTCTTCCCCCTCCACACTCCCTCATAACATGTGTCATCTCCCCCAGTTCTTCCCCCTCCACACTCCCTCATAACATGTGTTACCTCCCCCAGTTCTTCCCCCTCCACACTCCCTCATAACATGTGTTACCTCCCCCAGTTCTTCCCCCTCCACACTCCCTCATAACATGTGTCATCTCCCCCAGTTCTTCCCCCTCCACACTCCCTCATAACATGTGTTACCTCCCCCAGTTCTTCCCCCTCCACACTCCCTCATAACATGTGTTACCTCCCCCAGTTCTTCCCCCTCCACACTCCCTCATAACATGTGTTACCTCCCCCAGTTCTTCCCCCTCCACACTCCCTCATAACATGAGTCGTCTCCCCCAGTTCTTCCCCCTCCACACTCCCTCATAACATGTGTCGTCTCCCCCAGTTCTTCCCCCTCCACACTCCCTCATAACATGTGTTACCTCCCCCAGTTCTTCCCCCTCCACACTCCCTCATAACATGAGTCGCCTCCCCCAGTTCTTCCCCCTCCACACTCCCTCATAACATGAGTCGTCTCCCCCAGTTCTTCCCCTTCCACACTCCCTCATAACATGAGTCGTCTCCCCCAGTTCTTCCCCCTCCACACTCCCTCATAACATGAGTCGCCTCCCCCAGTTCTTCACCCTCCACACTCCCTCATAACATGTGTCATCTCCCCCAGTTCTTGCCCCTCCACACTCCCTCATAACATGAGTCGTCTCCCCCAGTTCTTCCCCCTCCACACTCCCTCATAACATGTGTTGTCTCCCCCAGTTCTTCCCCCTCCACACTCCCTCATAACATGTGTTGTCTCCCCCAGTTCTTCCCCCTCCACACTCCCTCATAACATGTGTTGTCTCCCCCAGTTCTTCCCCCTCCACACTCCCTCATAACATGTGTCGTCTCCCCCAGTTCTTCCCCCTCCACACTCCCTCATAACATGTGTCGTCTCCCCCAGTTCTTCCCCCTCCACACTCCCTCATAACATGAGTCGTCTTCCCCAGTTCTTCCTCCCTCCACACTCCCTCATAACCATATGCACACTTCCTCATAACCACCTAATATAACTCTTAAAGGTATTTGATTTTCCCAATACATTTTTGTTAGCATGAATAAAAAATGTAATTGAACCCAGATCATTTAGATTCAAACGTTGGCAAATTCAGTTTTTACAAATAATTTTACATTTTTTTGCAATTTATCACTGAATGTTTAGGAGGAATCTTTGACTATATTCATGCATAATAGTTAATGCAAATTGTAAACAGATTTTTAATTAAAGAAATAAAATTATGATAAAACCAGGTCATTACATAATTAGGAAAAATTACTTTGCGACTTGTATCATTCAGATGCATCCTTGCATTTATATTATACTGAAGGAGTCAATGGAGAATTTATGACAAACAGATTTGCATGTAAAAACAAAGCCATCGTTTGCCAACACAACCGTTCACTAAATGAGGTCGGTAGTGTTGAGCCCGCGCTCGCTCGAGTATGCATGCATGAAGAGGACCGGCTAAACCAAACCTCTGCCACTAGATATCACAGTAGTATATTGTCTAGTTAGCATACAATGCCTGAAGGCATTAATCAACGTTATCAATTCTTCACAAAATATGAAGGTCCTTTTTCTTATCTACTTTGAGCACTCAAACTAATGCTGCTATCTCTGTCACATTGCAGTGATAAAACTCTACCTCCATCAGCATAACATTATTACCATCAGAGGATTTGGAAGCCTTGCAAACTAACCTAACATAAATGTGATAACCGAACATAAAAATATGTATGTTCAAATATTGACTAACCGAGGCCTTACTTATTCAACTTACCGAATGTGGTTAGGCATTTCCTTGTAGACATCTGTAAACATTTCTTTCCAACTAGGCTTCAGACGACGCTCGGCTCTAGCAAAGGCCTGCATTACCTGCGACCAAAGACCAGGTTCATTAACTTCATACACTCATAACTGAATAATTATTTACTTTAACCTACACTTTGGTAAAGAGGATGTTAGTAGTACAAACTGACATTTGTGTAATACAAACTGTCTGAAAACAAATATTAATGAAGGTGAAATGGTGTCAATTTTTTTTAGTGCAGTACAAGTACAGTAGTGTGACTTCACTAAACACGGAGTGTTTCAGATGGCCCATATATTACAGGTACTAGAGATAATGGACAGTAGTCAATTCAGGCCTGAATGAGTAACAGATAATCAATCATGCAACCAAAATGCCCTTTTGCATACCACACAAATTTAGAGTTGAACACAATACATTTTCTAGTCATGTACAGTATAACAAACCTGAAACATGCTAAAAAGGAAAGTACTTGACAAACAAAATTGGCTTTGTACCTGGCGTTTACAATCATCTTTCCATTGTTTTTCCTTTGTTTCATCCCACCATCCTTGAGCAGTCATGTAGGCACGTAAGCGTGCAATAGGGTGCTGCGTCGAGTCCCAGTGACGCACCTCGTCTACAGAGCGGTAAGCCGAGCTGTCATCTGATGTGCTATGGTGGCCAATTCTAAGAATGATACAACAAATATATAATTACAGCACTGAACAATAAAAAATGAGTAACATTAATTTTAGCATTTTATCAGCCATGATGTCTAGATTGCATAATCATTTTTGCAGTGAAAATTGGGCCACGAATGCAAAATTTTAAACATTCCATCTGATTATATTTCCATATCTCTGTGTTTAGGCTGACAGCATTAATTGCTAAGCTAAATAGGAATTTCTGTCTTAAACCATCTATTAGTCACAATCAGTATGCATTAAAATATACTATAAAAGGTTGGTAATTTGGATTTTTGGTAACTTGAATCTCCTAGTAATCTAAATGAATTCACATTTGAGTTTTTGATCTTATAACTCAAATAGAAGTTTAGAAAAGTGAGATTTCCGCCGAATAAAAACAAAAAGATTCGAATTCGAACTATAAGTACTATTATTTTAGACGAATGGGTTCTGAAAATGGGACCTAGCAGACTGTCATGATACCTTGTCCAAAGGACACTAAATTTTACATTAGGGGACTACCAAATACATTACCTCAGAAAATACTGTATGAGCTCACTAACCCAGATGTCGGGCTTATCCAGATGGGGGGGTTCTTCCTATATAGTCTGGATAATCAAGCTCATACAGTACAGTACTGTAAAACTAAAAAAACACTAAAAAGGTACAGCAGACAAGTAATACAGTAATGTACTAATAATTACAAAGGTCAGATGCAGCTGCAGTACCTGTAAGTCATAGCTTCTATGAGAACTGGTCGATTTTCCGTAATGGTAATGTGACGTGCAGCTTTGGTGACATTGTACACGGCAAAAACGTCATTGCCATCGACACGAATGGTGGCCATTCCATATGCTGGTCCTCGAGCAGCTACACCATCTCCCCGATACTGCTCACTCGTAGGGGTTGAAATGGCATATCCATTGTTACGACTGAAAAGTAATCGATTTCATGACAAGTTATAAAATATTTGAGCTTGGATAATATTTTATAAGTGCATATTTGGTGTGTTAATAGGAGATTTGGCCTTTAGTGGTGGATGGTACACATATATACAATTAACTCAATCATTTTCTGTATTCACTATAATGTTTAAATGCCACACACTTTAACAAGAATGTTATCAAAAAGCACAAAGCCTGGGAGACCATAGAGCACCATCCGTGTCACCAAGTATTCAAGAGTATTCAAGGGGAAGGGGGGGGGTGGGTGGGGGGTAGCTAGCTGCCTGTCCCCTGACACAATGAATTATTATTTAATGATACTGTGTCACTACAACTTTTGTAAGAGGTAAACAGTGGGAGTAGCTGGGGTGTTGTACACACAGCAGGAGTAAGCAGGTAAACAGTGGGAGTAGCTGGGGTGTTGTATACACAGCAGGTGTAAGCAAGTAAACAGTGGGAGTAGCTGGGGTGTTGTACACACAGCAGGAGTAAGCAGGTAAACAGTGGGAGTAGCTGGGGTGTTGTATACACAGCAGGAGTAAGCAGGTAAACAGTGGGAGTAGCTGGGGTGTTGTACAAACAGCAGAAGTAAGCAGGTAAACAGTGGGAGTAGCTGGGGTGTTGTACAAACAGCAGAAGTAAGCATGTAAACAGTGGGAGTAGCTGGGGTGTTGTACAAACAGCAGAAGTAAGCAGGTAAACAGTGGGAGTAGCTGGGGTGTTGTACACACAGCAGGAGTAAACAGTGGGAGTAGCTGGGGTGTTGTACACACAGCAGGAGTAAACAGTGGGAGTAGCTGGGGTGTTGTACACAGCAGGAGTAAACAGTCGGAGTAGCTGGGGTGTTGTACACAGCAGGAGTAAACAGTCGGAGTAGCTGGGGTGTTGTACACAGCAGGAGTCAGCATGTCAACAGTGGGAGTAGCTGGGGTGTTTTACAAAAAATTACGAATGTTAATTTTTGGATATTTCTGGTAAAAAATTTGACTCGGTAATGTATGGGGGTGGACCCCATATGATTAAGATTACTGAGCATGGACAGTATACTATAAACGATGCTGTTCCTAGTGAGTTTTTATTCTTACTTGATTTTGCATCTACAACTATCCCTACTTCTACTCCTGTTACTACTACTATTATTACTAAGCAACAACAAGTCAACATAGGTTGTGAAATCAAAATCTCATAATTATTAAACAGCAATAATCCCACCCACTGAGTAGGGTCTGAAGGCCTGAGAAAAAGTTAAGAGCGTCTATGTCACTGCTACTCTTTAACCAACCCAACCTAACAACAACCTAACTTTACCCAACTTAATGAAAATAACAGATAGAATGAGATGTGTGATGTCACTATCATGCTAAAATGTTAATGCCAGTACAGGTTTTGGATCCTACTGCACCCACCAGAAGAAGATTACAGGACACTCAAGGGTTGCAGAGAAATTGAATGCAGCGTGAGCATCACCTTCACTGGACGTTCCTTCTCCAAAGTAACAGATGACACACTTGCCATTTTGGGCGCGCTTGTAGGCGTATGCACTTCCAACAGCTAAGTGGGCAAAAATACAAAGTAGATGTTAAACAAAACTTAAGAAGACAAAATAAGCATTTATTCTCCTCTTGTTCCACAGTTATATATCTGAACTCATACAACCATTGCACAAAAAAAATCACACAAACGTGATACAGGCATATCTATGAGGAAACATCGAAGCCGTACACGATGAGTTTAGGAAAACTGGTTTGATCCCATTGTACAGCTTCAATAATCTCTAATATAAGCACTTTATGAATTCACACAAGATAGGTCAGCGGTTAAAAGTATGATTCACACATATATCTGGAACCCCCAAGAATTCTTGGAACAAACTACTGTACTATGATTTGTAGCACGGAATATGTTTTTAAAATTAAAAAATAAACTTCTTTTAGTGGAAGCACCAGCCTCAGTAGCCCCAGGAAGTATGCTAGGAGAAGTGGTGTTGGCATCAATTCTTTCACGGTGCAATACAACTTAATTGTCTGCTTAAATATTACCACATTCACATTACAATTTAAACACACACATGTTTAAATGGTCATTTATAGTCATCTGCCTCATATCCACTGGTCTAGCGCAGTACTGTATAGTACATGCAGTGTTTCTGTTTGGTACAAATATTCATCCTGGCTACAGCACAGATAATGTGCCTGGTAAAAGCCATAACATTCAGCATTTTCTTAGCATATTTAATTGGCAAACAGTTGTAAGGAACTAGTTTCTGCATGGACCACAGGAGGCATTCCAGGGCCCAGCTCATAGTTTCCTATGACAAGCTGAAGATGGCAAGCTAGTCTAGCTCAATGTTGTCTGTCTTAAGACACCTTGGGGCCTCAAACCACAGCCCATACAACATTCAACACAGCTTGACTGACTGGAGCTGGTATTTGGGCTCGTTGACCAGCGCAGCAAGTGGAGGATCCCCGGATAGTAGCAAAGTTAGAAAGTACTATCCCCGGATAGTAGCAAAGTTAGAAAGTACTATCCCCGGATAGTAGCAAAGTTAGAAAGTACTATCCCCAGATAGTAGGAAAGTTAGAAAGTACTATCCCCGGATAGTAGCAAAGTTAGAAAGTACTATCCCCGGATAGTAGGAAAATTAGAAAGTACTATCCCCGGATAGTAGGAAAGTTAGAAAGTACTATCCCCGGATAGTAGGAAAGAGCACTACTGAGCCAGTCATCAAGGGAGGCCAAGACACGTCCTCAGATTACTTACTTATATTTGTTTATTTAAAAAAAAATGACTTTCTAAATTTAGCCAATAACATTTTACCCTTCACTGTTTATACTACCTACCGTCTCCACATTTTCTTGGGTAACCAAGAATTTTTATTTTCTAATCTCGTGCAGCATTATGTAATTATCTAAAAAAGGAACCAAGCTGGGAAGACTATTTAGCACCATCTGAGTAGCAGGATATTCTAAGAGTTAAAATATCACTCAATGCCATGATAAAAAATATTCACCAAACTTGTCCAGCAAGTTAACTGATTAGTGGTAAATTTCACAGACAAAAAAATTAACTAGGCAAACCAAAAGTAATAATGCTATCGTTGAATTAGCAGCTAAAGAAATTTGAATTTTTTTTAGCATCAAGCTCTGAAAAAAAAAAAATCTAGTGAAAGTCATACAAGAATACAACAAAAAATACCGCTACTGCAGTAGGACTGTCATACAGGTTCTGTGGTCAGTGAAAACATATTCCTGTTGTCGGGGGGGGGGGGAACGTTCCAAGATGCAGGCCACAACAATGGTCTAACTCCTGGCTACATATTCTACAGCTGGGTGAAGAGAGACATCAGGTGTAATCATACCCTGGCTCCTCGAGTGTGAGTCTAGAACACCCCCCCATCCCAGTACTACACACCTTGAGGCATCTGTGTGGCTAATGGTGAAGAAATGGTGACAAAGTTGTGCTCGTGGGACCCATAATGGACCGGCATCTGTCTCCCCTTGCCTTTATCTCCTTCATTGCCATAACATTGGTTCATAAAGCGGTCCAGGGGGAACCCTCGCCACATCAGTACACCTGTTGAAAGAACACGTTGATATTATTCTTACCATTTGCATCAAAAACATAAGAATAAAGGAAACTACAAAAAGCCTATTTACCTATACAAGGCAGCTCCTATTTGCTCACATGAGCGTGCTCGTGATAGCCCATACGTGGCAGCTCCTAATAGCCCATATGAGGCAGATGTTATTAGTCCGTTGGAGGCAGCTTCTGTGACAGTTGTTGAGGTGACTTGAGTGGAGACCTGAAGGGTGACCTAACCTACGACTCTGTCCCAGGGAGGTGAAGTAGTCACATAAGAATAATGGTAACTGCAGGAGGCCTATTGGGCCATACGAGGCAACTCCTATTTATAACCACCCAATCCTACTCATATACATGTCCAACCCATGCTTGAAACAATCAAGAGAGCCCCCATCTCTACTACGTTAAGCAGTAATTGGTTGCACTTAATTAATTCCACCACCTCGTGTAGTTTTAAAGATTAGTGGGCTAATCCCTTTGCCAAGAAGTTACCAGCTACAGATCCGTTAACCCTTAAACCGTGCATACTGGGGGCCCGGAAGCGAAAAATATTTGAATTATGGAAAAAATTTCAAATGTTACACAAATCTCCAATTTATTGGCTTCAGTGTTATGAAACTTAAAATATTTTCAGAAATTGATTTTAGACAAATTTTTGTAAAATATGAACATTTGGTTGATAAGGAGAACAGTTCCCCTTAACTGGAACCGAGGGATAATGCAGTAATAAAGAGATGCAAGCACCTCAAGGTAGGGGCCTCGTAGCCTGGTGGATAGCGCGCAGGACTCGTAATTCTGTGGCGCGGGTTCGATTCCCGCACGAGGCAGAAACAAATGGGCAAAGTTTCTTTCACCCTGAATGCCCCTGTTACCTAGCAGTAAATAGGTACCTGGGAGTTAGCCAGCTGTCACAGGCTGCTTCCTGGGGGTGGAGGCCTGGTCGAGGACCGGGCTGCGGGGACACTAAAGCCCCGAAATCATCTCAAGATAACCATCTCAAGATAACCATCTCAAGATAACCATCTCAAGATAACCTGTCCAATGCTCAAAGAAGAATAGTAGTAAGAAGTGTCAACAAAGTGGATATGCAGCTGGTGCCTTTATAGCATTACTGAGTAATACATAATAACACAAATAATACCGAGTATGTTATTATCCTCTATTTTGTTATATATCATATACATACATTGTCCAATGGTAATATGTGACTTTTACTTTCATCAATGTCCCAAAAACGTTTTTTTATTTTATTTTAGTTTTTTCTCCTTTGTTTATTCTGATTTTGTTGTAACCTTTACATCCTGGAGAGTGGGGGTTCTCCAGGATGTAAACCCTTCCCGAACTATGTGAAGATAGAATAAAATTGGTCAACAAATAAATCAGTCACAACTCGCAGAACTTGGAACCTTAAGCTTTTTCAAACACTATTTTCTTTGTGTCTTTAGGTTGTTTTGATGTTTATGGACCAGATTAGGGCTTTTTCACTTATATAAAGTTTACCCTAAATAAATCCCCTAAATCATTATAATTATTATAATCATCCCTATATTTTGTTTTTTTCTGCGGGGTTATTTTTTCTATTAATTTTTTTCTATAACGGAGGAGAGCCGCAACCGGACACAAAACATGATGCACCTCTAGCCGAACCAACGAAGCATCAACAATCCAGGGACCCCTCCGGAATGCAGCAGTCTCATTCTTCGCCAGAAAAGAAGAAGACTGCAGACGAACAAACCGATCACCCCGACCGAAGGAGCAAAAACCGGCGCATCGCTTTCTAACCATCGCTTCTCTAATGAATGTACAGTACGCCCTCCCAAACCTGGACCCTAATATAACGGATACTCTCGAAAACATACAGATACAGTACTAACTAAATCATACAGACACTAACTCTAAAAACTAATGGATACTCTCTAAAACAAACTCCAAAATTCCCTCCAAGATATAGATGTTAAAAAAAAATATCCAGTTCGTGAAGGAAAAGGGAACTATCAGGAGAAAAGCACCAAGCCATTATGGCTATATAGCACTTGGAAGGGATCAGGGTAAGGATTTGGGATGGGACGTGGCGAAAGGAATCCTGAAGCAAGACACTAAAATCTAAAATGTGTACAGCAATTTCCATCAAATCATATTTGTTCATTTCATTGCTAATCTTGATAATGAATACAGTCATGCAGTTCTGGATAATGCACTAGATCTATTTATCAATATTTGACTAAGTCCTCTGGTTATCCATGTTTAAGTTTGCCCTAAGAAGTTCTCCAACAGCTGAACTACTAAACTAGAAGTTTTCATTGATATTATTTATGAGTGTGGTTATATATGTCTTACCTGCTTCACGGTATTGACCGTACACAAGGTCCCCTTCATCAAGAGCTGCAGCCGAGCCAATGTGAGTTCCTTCTTCACCATAGTTCGTCATGTAAAAGGATATTCGTCCCTGGCGCTGTGACTCGTACATAATGCGATCCATAGTGTTTAGTAGAGTCATCCTGTGATACATGCGCACCACCACCTCCTCACCTAGCTGAAGCAAGAAAACCATTTATGAAATATATACAAACTAGGACAGAAAACAGAGGCTTCTTTCACCCCCACAGGGTTATAAACCCATGGAACCTACCTGCTCGAGCTGTAAATGCCAAGGCACTGCTGTAGTTCAAAATCCCGCTGGAAAAAATAAAGAGATATGAGGGACCTTTGACATGCTGCCAGCTTCCTGTCCATGTCAAGGCCACTAGAGCAATGGTGGCCCTCAGGTGAATTCAGGTAAACAGTGAGCAGCACACTGTGTACTAAACACTATACCCATAGAATGTATTGTGCAATGACATTGGCATTTAATGACCTCTTCATTTGGAACACACTTAAGTAATCAAACAATTCTTATGCAGTTAATGTACTGTAAGTTTATGTGAAGGTACTCAATTTACCTGAACTTACCTGCGGACTACTGTCTAGTAGCCACAATGAGGACAGGAAGCCGGTGGCTTGTCAAAGGTCCTCTCATTTGTCCCATAAATGTCCTATGAATGTACAACCATTTATGAATAAACGATTTATTGACTTGAATATTTCTGTTGTTAACCCTTAACCCTTCCACTGCTAAGGGGTCCTGAGGACATTTACACCCCTGTGCACAAGGAAAAAAAATTTTGAAAAAATTATTTCGTCTTCTAAAAATGTTAATGTGTGTTCCCCGAGCACGGGGAAAAAAAAAATCGTAGGTGACATTTTGGGCGCAATTGACCGAGGAAGTCTGGTAAAAAGTGGCTGTTGACAGAGGTTGTCAGAGCCGGTTAGCGTCACCCGCGCTGACAGGTGAGAGTTACCACTAACATATCATCACTTAATTATTTCAATGTCTGATTTTTTCTTATTTTTTTTTGCAGTAATATTATTCAATAGTGTGTATTGTAATATATTTATATATTAAAAGTGGTGAATAATCGCTATACTCAAAAGTATGATGTGCATATTAGTGATTCAATTATTATGTTCATAAAACAAACAAATAGTTTTGCTGCTATTACACTCTATACACACGTTATATATAATAACAGTTTAAGGGTTAAACTGCGCACAGCGTATATATACGCCATAAGTAACATGTCCCACCGCGCGCATGGCGTATATATACGCCATAGGGTGCCAGGCACAATTCAAATAGCCCACGGTTACACGGGGTTCACATCAGCTTCCTCAGGGCTCTTGTAAACAGACGCCATGTTTAAAAAAAATCGTGGGCAACATTCTCCGGTGTGAGAGCCACAGTACTGTGTAAGCAACCAAGGCTGGTGCATGCAGCATGAGTTAACGGCATTGCTGTTCTGCTTGTGACCACAGCATCGCCTAAAAATGTCAAAATAAATATGTAACTGCTATTATTTAGCGATGACAGTATTACAGAAGGTCCCTTGACTGTGATAAAAATGTCCAGGATTGTGATACTAGCAGGATTGTTGTGATAATTAGCTCTATGTGGGAGGCGTAATACTAAGGGACGGAGGGAGATTACTGACAGTGTGGCCACCTGTTATTGTCTGCATTCACCATACCAACTCAGTGGTTCTCTATGGTGAAAACAAATGTAGATCTTATATATAATGTGCGTATTAGTGTAATAACAACAAAAGGATTATGTTCGGAGGAGCCATTTGGGTGATGGAGGTGGCATCATCTGCATGACTTGTCTAGCTGTGTAGAGGGTGGCCACTATGTTCTTTGGGCACCCTACAAGCTTAGGTGTTCAGTTATGGTGCATACAACATGTAGATACTTATATATAATGTGTGTATAGAGTGTAATAACATCCCAAACAGTATTGTTGGTGGAGAAATTTTAGTGCGCCTGACCTTGAATGAGTGAGGGAGGCAGCTGCCAGCTGACTGTGTGTGGAGCAATGTCTCTTAGAGCCTGAACTAACTATATCAGCTTAGTTGTACAGTTGTGGCAAACAAAACATGTAGATACTTATATATAATGTGTGAATATAGTGAAATAACTGCAAAACTATTTGTTTATTGCTTTATGAAGGTAATAATTGAATCACTAATACGAACAACATACTTTTGAGTATAACGATGATTCACACATTTTATTATATAAATCTATCACACTACTGTACACACTATTGAATAATATAACTGCAAAAATCTAAGAAAAACTCAGAGACATCGAAATAATTAGGTGATAATATCTTTGTGGCAACTCCCACCTGTCAGCTAGGGTGACGCTGACTGCCTCTGACGACCGCTCTGTCAACACCCACACTTTGCCAGACTTCCTCGGCCTATTGCGCCCAAAATATGTCACCTACGATTTTTTTCCCCCGTGCTCAGAAATTTTCAGGGAACACAAATTCACATTTTTAGAAGACGAAATAATTTTTTAGATTTTTTCTTCTTGCACACAGGGATGTAAATCTCCTCAGGACCCCTTAGCAGCTTAAGGGTTAAATAACATGCATTATGAAATAGTCTGTAAAGTACTTGGCAAAATTATAAATCTTAATTATTTTATTCTCTCAAAAGAAATGTTCATTAGGCAACACATCTCTACATCCAACTTGTACCAAACTAATCTTTAACATTCATATGTAAGGGAGGGAACAATCACCTTTTTACATTACAGGAATACATAAGAGCTGGAACATATGACCATTTTACATCACTACATAAGGGCTGGAACAATGACCATTTCACATCCCTACATGATGTTTGTCCTACAGATGTGACGATGACCAAGACTTCAATATATCAGGTGGAAGGTCGGTGGGTGTGTGCCAAATGATGGAGGATGAGACCAACTTGGGTCCGGAAGGCTCGCCCACACACGGGACATTTGTGGGTTGGTGCTACTGCAGAGGTGGAGGTTGCTCTAGCTTTGAACACGGCATGTTTCATCTGGGCCTCTGCAATCAGTCTTCTTTCTGCTGCACGGGGCCCCAGTGGTGAGTTTGCTTTTCCAAGTTGGACGGTCCTGAGCAAGCAACTCCCAAGTATTGGTGTTGATGTCCAGGTCTTTGAGGGTCACCATGAGGCAGTCCTTAAATCGTTTCTTCTGCCCCCAACAGAACGTGTGCCCTGGCATAATTTTCCATAGAGCAGCTTTTTAGGCAATCAGCTGTCAGGCATTCTGACAACATGGCCTGCACATCTGGCCTGAGTTTTGTGGAGATAGGTGAAGATGCTGGGAATACTGATCCATTCCAAGACCTCTATGTCTGGGATTTTGTCATGCCAGCTGATGTGGAGTCTGCAGATACAGCTCAAATGAAAGCAATTCAGCAGTTTGGCACATCAGCATTCCTTCACAAGGGCTCGAACAATGACCATTCCACTTTCTTACATAAGGGCTGGAAAAATAATTGTAATGAAGGCAAGTCCTTGTCCAGTAATTTCCAAAAGTTAAATCAGAGACATCACGATGTTTTGTAGTGATCTGGCTCTATAATTTACCCAGCTTTAACATTGGCTTATTGCCCGCTTTAAAATACTATTGCAATGGGCTTCAGATTTTTGCTTTTAACTATTTATTAATAAACTACTGTACATGAAAATGTTGAATGAAAATTTTATGTTAAATACAATTGAACACTAAAACACAACTAATAGGATCTTAATTATTAACCTTGGGATCAGACGCTTCATCGATAAGCTGCCCCTTACGGTCCATGACACGATATACAGGAATGCCATCATAAAGATCGGGCTGCACAAAATCAAGCTTCTCGGTCCACTTGGAGCGGGATCCGGGAAAATTAGGTTGTTCTTCTAAGCTGGAGCTCAGAGCCTGAAAGGACAAATAAAAAGTAATGATAATGCTGTATATATAATAGTGCACATAATTATACAAGCCTAAAGCAGCACATTTTTATGCAAACAGATACACTCAAGTGGCTCTGGTCACTACTCTGATAAGGTACAATAGTGCTGAATTCATTGCATCTAACTATACAAGCAGCTTGCTTAATTAGCACTTAACACATGTATCGGACTGGAGAAATGTCACAAGTGGAGTACCACAGGGTTCAGTTCTTGCACCAGTGATGTTTATTGTCTACATAAATGATCTACCAGTTGGTATACAGAATTATATGAACATGTTTGCTGATGATGTTAAGATAATAGGAAGGATAAGAAACTTAGATGATTGTCATGCCCTTCAAGATGACTTGGACAAAATAAGTATATGGAGCACCACTTGGCAAATGGAATTTAATGTTAATAAATGCCATGTTATGGAATGTGGAATAGGAGAACATAGACCCCACACAACCTATATATTATGTGAGAAATCTTTAAAGAATTCTGATAAAGAAAGAGATCTAGGGGTGGTTCTAGATAGAAAACTATCACCTGAGGACCTCAAAGAATATTGTGTGAGGAGCCTATGCCATGCTTTCTAACTTCAGAATTGCTTTTAAATACATGGATGGCGATATACTAAAGAAATTGTTCACAACTTTTGTTAGGCCAAAGCTAGAATATGCAGCGGTTGTGTGGTGCCCATGTCTTAAGAAGCACATCAACAAATTGGAAAAGGAGCAAAGACATGCCACTAAGTGGCTCCCAGAACCAAAGGACAAGAGCTACGAGGACAGGTTAGAGGCATTAAATATGCAAAAACTATTAGATAGAAGAAAAAGAGGTGATACGATCACTACATACAAAATAGTAACAGGAATCGATAAAATTGATAGGGAAGAATTCCTGAGACCCGGTACTTCAAGAACAAGAGATCATTGATTTAAACTAACGAAACAAAGCTACTGGAGACATAAGAAAATTTATTTTTGTAAACAGAGTGGTAGACGGTTGGACCAAGTTAGGTGAGAAGGTGGTGGTGGCCAAAACCGTCAGTAATTTCAAAGTGTTATATGACAAAGAGTGCTGGGAAGACGGGACACCACGAGCATAGCTCTCATCCTGTAATTACACTTAGGTAATTTCCTCTCCTCCTCTTCACTGTTTTCCATATGTTAACAAGAGTCGTCGATTAAGATAAGGTAAAAGATGCGAGTAGTATTCTGTATAAAATGTATTTTTAAGTTAATATTTTTGGGTGTGTGGAACGGATTAATTAAATTTACATTATTTCTCATGGGAAAATTCGTTTCGGTTTACAAATTTTTGGTGTACGAACTGTCTCTTGGAACGGATTAAATTCGTAAACCAAGGAAACCAAACATGCTGTACAGCACGTTTAAAACATTTGTCAACCAAGAAAAGACGTGAATTTAGAATAAATAAGTAACCAGTAAACTGCCCGAAACGCTTTGCGTAATAGTGGCTTTAGGCATTGTATGTACTAGCTCCTATCTATAAAGCCAACAAACTTTGTAAAATCTCTTTATGTATGTACCTTACCTAAATAAAAATTATTATTATTATTATTACCTGTATATGAAAAAAAGCACTTATGTATATTTTAATTAACAAATAATGTTTATATAAAGAATTATTTTTTCTGTAAGAAAAATAAATATGTACCATACTGTACATAAATATATATCCCCCTCCCCCCCCCATGAGAGTGTCATGGGGGGGGGGGGCCTCTGCCTTCAACACACCCGACTTGGCCCGCCTGAGCCGAGCCTCTCTCCCCCCCCCCAGACAACCAACACCGGGGCAGCTTGCAGTCTTGTCACAGCACAACGCCCAACCCCAATGAATACAAAACCCAACAGAAATGAATGAATTTCTTTTGTCGGGGGACAGGAAGCCTGTGTGTGTATATATATACTTTAGGGTTGTATTGAGTCTTCCCCCCCCCCTCTCCGAGGTGGAACTAGGGATCCCTTCCCCCCCCCCCCCGGGGAAGCAGCCTCACAACAGTTGACTAACCCCTGGGTATCTGCTTCTGCCGGGTGAACAGAAGTATTAGGCGAAACGTGCCCAACCACTTCTGTCCCGCCTGGGGATCGAACCCAGGACCCCAGATTGTGAGTGGAGAAGGAAGCCAACTATGGTTGCCATGATTGATAGCCCCTCACAGGTCACACTCCAGCTCCTGGCCCCCCGGACACCGTTACTCAAGTACTCACCCTGGTGATGAGGGCTGTGACTGGGTGCCTGTGGCCGGCCCTCGTCACTCTCCAGTCGTGGGTGGCACCAGAGGTCGCGCTCCAGCTCCTGGCCCTGGCACCGGCGAGCAGACACCAACTAAACCTGGCACTTGCCGCCATCCTTCACAGCTGATCGCCGCACACTTGAGTAAGCACCTTTAGGTGAGTACCCCTCACTCTTCTACACTTATTTGTTTATTTGTCTATTTACTTATTTATACTCTCCATGTTGACCTCAAACACTAGTAATATTATTACCTCCTGTTTCTATCTTAATATACACACAAGAAAGGATTCTTTTGGGGAAATATGATTTGTTTTAGAAAATGTGGATAAAGCATAATTGGTCCCTTCCAAACTTAGGATTGATTATTCAAAATGATATAAAACCACCAGGGTAATTTATATATTAATTAAATTAAATGATCTTTACACTTAAGTAAAATAAGTTATTGTGGAAGAAAAGTATAATTTATGCTGTATTAATTTTAAATGACCCAACTCCCGATATAATTTACTATTAGGGCTAATACCTGGCACACAAATTAATTTAATAATAAAAATAACATTTTAATAGTGTTCATGGCCCTGGATGGATATCTAATATATTAAATATTTCAACAACAAATAATAAAATCTAATATGTTTATTTGTGATGTGTGTCTATGTATGTATTAACACGTTGTACTGAATGGGGTGAGAATAGCTTGAGCTACCTCATCCCTTTGTGTGTATTTTACCTCAATAAACTTATTTCAATTTCAATTTCAATTTCAATTTCAACAACAAATTGCATATGACGAATACGAACGTAATATATGTATAGTGATTGATTGATTATTCATCTCATTTTGCAGTAAAGCTTGATAATTTTCGTTTAATAATTTAATGAAAACAAAAGTGGTATAGTGTTAGGGTAGAGGAAGTGTCATTGTAGGGTAGAGGTGGGTATAGACTATAGACTCGTGACCCCCTAGACAACAAGACCAGGCAGCGTGTGGCTACGGGAGTCCCTCACGGCTCATGTCTCACCTCCTCACGCCTCTCGCCAGCTGCTCCTCGCCCTCACGCAACCTGTGAACCACCTGAACAAGAAGTGTGTCCATAGTAGAGCTGAGCCTGAACCGTTGAAGGTCCTTCAAGGTTGGTATTGTGGTAGGCCATAGGTGCCTCAGCCTCCACTGGTGGGGTAGAAATAACTTATCTCTATCCCTTTGAGATGTATTTTTTCTTGTCTCAATAAACATACTTGAACTGGTGGTATATACCTAATTGTGTTTGCGAGGGGGTTGAGTTTCGGTTCTTTGGTCCCGCCTCCCAACTGTCAGTCGCCTGGTGTACAGCCTATTGGGCGCTATCATATATATACATTTGAAACTGTGTGTGGATTCTGCCTTCATATTGAGGCTAATTATCTTTAAATCTGATAACCTAAGATCTTGGATCCATTTCTTGATTGATGAAAGCTAGACTGAAGAGCACTCTGAAGATTACTTACTAAAGATTCAGACTTGATAATTGACTTTATGCTTTACGTGGCCTGCAAGCTGTTCCAAACAACAGCCTGTTGGATCAAAGCTCTCACAAGTCAAGCCTGGCCCCAGGCCGGGCTTGGGGAGTAAAAGTACTCCCTGAACCCCATCCATTGGGTTGTAATTTCTTAGCTGTTGATATTGATTTTAATAACTGTTTAACAGAGACAAGTTCCATTCCTTGTCTGGTGAACTCGTGAATGGATGGTGGCGGTTCTACTTCTGTCTACTCTAACTCTCAATCTAACTCATTGCAGTCTTTTTACATTATACCCTTCTCCTACCTTTTTTGTCCCTCTTAGTAAGTCTACCCTTCATCCCATCATATTCTCTCTCTGACTTCTCTCCTCCCATCTCTATCACTTTCCACCCTTTCATTCTTCATCGCACTATTCTCCTCCTCCATTCCACCTCACTCTCCCCTCTACGCTGTTCTTCATCTTTATCCATTCCCTATAATCATTATGAAAAGACCATAGATTACATACTTCAGTATATATCAGACTGGATAAAAGTCACGTGTGGAGTACCACAGGGTTCAGTTCTAGCACCAGTAATGTGTATTGTTTACATAAACGTTTTTCCAGAAGTCATACAGAATTATATGAACATGTTAGGTGATGAGGCTAAGATACTAGGGAAGATTAGAAGCTTAGATGATGGTCACACCCTTCAAGAAGACCTGGACTGAATAAGTGTTAGGAAAAAAATAGGCCACACACACACCGTACAAATTATGTGAAAAAAGCTTTAAAAATTCAGATCTAAGTGGGAGTTCTAGATAGAAAGTTGTCACCCAAGGATCAAATAATTAATTGTATGCTACAGTTTCCAACTTCAGAATTGCTTTTCGATACATGGATGGTAAAATACTAAAGAAATTGTTCATGACCTTTGTGAGACCAAAGTTAGAGTATGCGGTATGGTAGCCATATCTTAAGCATATCAACAAACTGAAAAAGATGCAAAGACATTCAACTAAACGGCTTCTAGAACTGAAAGACAGAGCTATGAGGAGAGGTTAGAAGCTTTAAATTTGCCAAAGCTAGATTGAAGAAAAAGAGGCAATATAATTACTCTATCATTAGGGTTCCAGTAGTACAGTCGGGCTCATTCTTGACCCACAATTGAGAATTCCGGGTTCGAGTCCTGGGCGGGACAGAAATGGTTGAGCATGTGTCCTATCGCCTAATGCCCCTGTCCACCTAGCAGTAAATAGATGCCTGGGAGTTAGTCAGCTTGTTGTGGGGTTGCATCCTGGGGAGGGTCAGTAATTCGACCTTGGGGAGGGTCAGTAATTCGACCTTGGGGAGGGTCGGTAATTCGACCTTGGGGAGGGTCGGTAATTCGACCTTGGGGAGGGTCGGTAATTCGACCTTGGGGAGGGTCGGTAATTCGACCTTGGGGAGGGTCAGTAATTCGACCTTGGGGAGGGTCGGTAATTCGACCTTGGGGAGGGTTGGTAATTCGACCTTGGGGAGGGTCGGTAATTCGACTTTGGGGAGGGTCGGTAATTCGACCTCGGGGAGGGTCGGTAATTCGATCTTGGGGAGGGTCGGTAATTCGATCTTGTGGAGGGTCGGTAATTCGACCTTGGGGAGGGTCGGTAATTCGATCTTGCGGAGGGTCGGTAATTCGATCTTGGGGAGGGTCGGTAATTCGACCTTGGGGAGGGTCGGTAATTCGACCTTGGGGAGGGTCGGTAATTCGATCTTGCAGAGGGTCGGTAATTCGATCTTGGGGAGGGTCGGTAATTCGATCTTGCGGAGGGTCGGTAATTCGACCTTGGGGAGGGTCGGTAATTCGACCTTGGAGAGGGTCGGTAATTCGTCCTTGGGGGGAGGGGGGGAATCTCGATATAAGCCAAACATGTTCTATATGTATAAACTGGCTTCCTGTCCCTTGACACAATGAATTATGAATTATGTACAAAATAATAACAGGAATCAACAAAATTGACAAAGAAGAATTCCTGAGACCTGGTACTTCAAGAACAGGTCATAGATTTAACCCTTCAACAGTGCAATACATACATATATGATTTGACATAAAATAATTTAACAAGTTTTTAAAACTTGTACAAACACTTTCCAATTTTTTTGCATAATCAACTAGGCAAATGCTCCAACTTTGTCTAAATGATCATAGTATAACTTGAAAAACAAGAGAATCAAAATTAATTTTAAAATTGAATATTGAAAACTTCATATTTTTAATTCAGAATAAAAAAATATGAACTATCACCAATTGTTCATTTAATGTTATTATTCTCTCAGAATACCATATGATCTTGTTCACTAAACCACACTCTAGAAAGTGAAAGGATGATGATGTTTTGGTGTGTCCTGGACCATTCTCAAGTCGATTGTGACGATTGACTTGAGAATGGTCCAGGACGGACCGAAACGTCGTCGTCCCTTCACTTTCCAGTGTGTAGTTTAGTCAACATATTTCAGCCCCGTTATTGTGACTCCTCGTCCGCATATGATCTTCATTTTTATCGAATTAGAATACAGGTTTAGGTTTTCAGTATAGTTTACTGTAAAAAAATCATCAATAAGGCATTTGAAAAATGCTGCAAATTTAGAAAAAAAAATTATAACTCCAAATGTATAAAGTTTATGAAAAATCGCTTCTGAAGGGATTGTAGAACAGACAGCTAAGCACACAATATGTCAAAATAGTGAGAATCGGTCAAAAACTGGAATTTTGTAAGCCACTCAAAGTCAAAACTATAGTTTCAGAGATAATTGAAGTTGAAGTTATCAACAATGAATAAAGGTAGTTTTAATTTGTTAATTTAGTTGTATGTTTTAATAAACATTGTTTGGCATTCGTACTCGAATATGTGAAAGTTGTAGGTCAATATGTGTTGAAATGAAGTCGAGAAAAAATAACCCCCAAAGACACAAAATATAGGGATAATTATAATAATTATAATGATTTAGGGAATATATTTAGGGTATACTTTATATAAGTGAAAAAGCCCTAATATGGTCCCTAATCATCAAAACAACCTAAAGACACAAAGAAAATGGAGTTTGAAATTAGAAAAAATCAGCCAAAATAAAATTAAAAGTCCCAAGTTTTGCGAGTTGTGACTGATTTATTTGTTGACCAATTTCATTGTTTCTTCACATAGTTAGTGAAATATATGCATTCTCCAGGATGTAAAGGTTACAACAAAATCAGATAATAAACAAACTGGAAAAAACTAAAATCTTAAAAAAAAAAAAAAATTCCCCTAGAAAAAAATATTTTTTGAACATTGATGAAAGTAACATATATTACCATTGGACAATGTATTTATATGATATATAACAAAATAGAGCATATTAACATAGTTACTCATTATTATTTGTGTCATTATGTATTACTCAGCAATGATATGAAGGCAGCAAGTGCATATCCACTTTGTGGACACTTCTTACTCCTATTCTTCTTCTTTGAGCGTCGGACAGGTGCTTGCATCTCTTTATTACTGCATTATCCTTCAGTTCCAGTTATTAGGAGCAGTTCTCCTTATCAACAAAACGTTCTTATTTTTTAAAAATTCGTCTAAAATCAATTTCTGAAAATATTTTGATGAAAGTTTCACGACACTAAAGCCAATAAGTTGGAGATTTGTTTAACATTTTTAAGTTATTTTTACATAATTCAAATATTTTTCGCTACCAGGACCCCAGTATGCGCGGTCTTAGGGTTAAGCTAACTTAACAATGCTGCTGTAAAAAACATTAGAAAATTCACTTTAGCAAACAGAGTGGTAGATGGTTGGAACACGTTAAGTGAGGTGGTAGTGGAGGCCAAACCCTGTCAGTGGTTTTTATGCATTATATGAGTGCCGGGAAGACGGGACACCACGAGCGTAGCTCTCATCCTGTAATCACACTTGGGTAATTACTTACGTATATAATTACTGTAGTGAATTAAAAGGTAATTAGGTATATAATTACTGAAGTGATTTAAAGGTAATTACTTGGGTATACTGTATAATTACGGTAGTGACTTAGAAGGTAATTACTTAAGTATATAATTATTGTAGTGATTTAAAAGGTTAGGTTTATAATTTCTGCAGTGACTTAACCCCTGGGCTGCCCTTGTGATTATAGCCTGCAACACACCCAGGGGCAAGAAATAAAAGAATCTAAAAATGTTTTCCTCTTATAAAAGTGTTCATTTATCTACCATTGGGCGAAGAAGTTTGACAAAATTGAGGCGTTGACAGAGCAATCGTCGGAGGTGGTCAGCTCCTCCAGAGCTGTCAGGCGGGAGTTACCACAAAGATATTACTACCTAATTGTTTCAATGTCTGATTGATTTTTTCCAATTTTTTTTTTTTTTGCAGAAATATTACTCAATAGTGTGTAGTGGTTACCTACTTTACCTTGAGGTGATTTCGGGGCTTAGCGACCCCACGGCCCGGTCGTCGACTAGGCCTCCTCGTTGCTGGACTGGTCAATCAGGCTGTTGGACGTGGCTGCTCGCAGCCTGACGTATGAGTCACAGCCTGGTTGATCAGGTATCCTTTGGAGGTGTTTGTAAAGTTCTCTCTTGAACACTGTGAGGGGTCGGCCAGTTATGCCCCTTATGTGTAGTGGAAGCGTGTCGAACAGTCTCGGGCTTCTGATGTTGATAGAGTTCTCTCTCAGAGTACCTGTTGCACCTCTGCTCTTCAACGGGGTATTCTGCACATCCTGCCATGCCCTCATAGTGTATATGAAGTGATATACAGTATATGTATATATGAAGTGATATGTATAGTGATATATTTATATAATAAAATGTGTGAATCATCATATACTCAAAATTATGGTGTGCATATTAGGGATTCTATTATTATGTTCATAAAACAATAAACAAATAGTTTTGCTGTTATTACACTATATATACACAGGTTTTATATAAGTACTGTATCTGCATATTTTGTTCACCATAACGAACCACTAAGTTGGTATGGTAAGTCATAACAATGACGAGTGGCCGCCACACACCAGCCAGCAAACACCACCTCCTTCCCTCCCCAACCCGTTCTCGCAAATTTAATAAGTCAATTTTGACTTATTAGTTGCGTGCATAGGTGACATACTAAACATAATAGTTTCCCTTGAAAAGCTTCATAGAAAACACCGACCTTACCTAACCTACTTAGTATGTTAAAATAAGCATCTTATAGCTTCGTAATTACAATTGTTACTTAACCTATTATAGGTATAGTTTAGGTAATAATTGTAATTACGAAGCAATAAGATGTATATCTTAACATACTAAGTAGGTTAGGTAAGGTCGGTGTTTTCTATGAAGCTTTTCAAGGGAAACTATTATGTTAAGTATGTCACCTATGCACATATTTAATAAGTCAATATTGACTTATTAAATTTGCGAGAACGGGTTGCCCTCCCTCACCTCACTTGCCAACACTCCTCCTCCCACCACACTGTTTTTGCTTTTATTCACTATATACAGATGTTATATGTAAGTATCTACACATTTTGGTCACCATAACTGTACAACTAAGCAGGTATGGTGAGTTCAGACAATAACAGAGGTCACCACACACAGCTGATGCTGCCTCCCTCCCTCACTATTATTCCTCCTCCCGCTATATTTTTTGTACTGTTATTACACTATATACTCATGTTATATATAAGTATCTACATTTATGCTCACCATAGCGAAAAACTAAGCTGATATGGTGATTCTAGACAATGACGGGTGGCCACACAGAGTCAACAGACGAAGCTGCCTCCCTCCATCCCTCCATCAGCATTACTGTTCCCCACCATACTACACACAATGCTAATTATCACAACAATCCTGCTATTATCAGAATACTGGTCATTTTTATCACAGACGGGTCTTCTGTAACACTATCATCGCTAAATGATACCAGTTATACATATATTTTTTAAATTTTTTAGACGATGCTGTGGTCAAATGTTGAACAGCACTGTTGTTAGCTCATGCTGCATGCCAGTCTTGGTTGCTCACTCATTACTGAGGCTCTCACACCCGGGAATGTTGCCCACAATTTAAAAAAAAAAAATGGCATCTGTTTACAAGAGCCCGGAGGAAGCTGATGTGAACCCTGTGTAGCTGCGGGACTTTTAAATCTTGAGAGTGGTTCTCCAACACATCAATAGCTGTGGTGTGTAATGCTGCGACAGTTACTCACCACAGCTATTGATGTGTTGCGCACTTTAAGGGTTAAAAGGTAATTATTTAGGTATATAATTACTGTAGTGACTTAAAAGCAGTGTGGTTGTTAATTTATGTACTTATTGCAAAAAAAACCTTCACTGTTGCACTTGCACCAATGCATAGAACAAAAGCACAAAAATGCCAGAATATCTTCAAATACCATACTGTATTCTTGTATTGTTAATTTATAGATGTGTTCTTGTATTGTTAATTTATTGACGTATTTTTGTATTGTTAATTTATTGACGGATTTTTGTATTGTTAATTTATTGACATATTCTTGTTAATTTATTGATGTATTCTTGAATTGTTTTCAGAATGCCACCAACATTTAGTGAAAAGAAGGGAAAGAAACGAAGAAACAAAAAACCACGCAAACCAAATAATGTATCCCAATCAGAGGTGAAGGATGGTGTCCGCATAACCGAGTTCCGAAGTGACAGTTTTAGACAAATAAGAGGGGCCCCAGTTCAGAAATTTTACGGTAGAAAAGTTGTTGATCCAAAGTTGTTACAAAAGTACAGTAAAGGAACAGGTGTTGAGGTAAGATAATATTTTGTTCATTTGGCTTGGAGGCATGGCAGGGTTAGGTTAGGTTAGGTTAGGTTAGGCTTGGAGGCATGGCAGGGTAGGGGGTAATATGTTTACACACCATTTTCAGATGTATCATTCTAGCAAAATTTTTCTTTTACCTTGATATTTTAATGGAGAAATAAAAAGTAAACAAATTTTGGTACTGTATAAGACAGTCGCTAGCTGTTCTTGAATTGTAATTACAGTATTTTTACTATATGAACTATAAAGATCATTAATATTAATTGTATAAGAAAACTGTGAATTTAATTATATCCTAAGTTATTTACCTCGGAGGTAATATTGTTGATTTTGCACATTGAAATCACAGTAATGTAATTTCAGTGAGGAAAATCAGTAATCAATGAGAAAATCGGTAGGAGCCAACGGATTTTCTCTTTGATACATCACGTTAATGAGATTTCATTGAACATTTGATGACTCCTGCTGATGGTCACATGCATCATGGTAATGTCATTTCAGTGTGCATTTGAAGAGAAGCACTGGAGGTAGAACTGGTGGACCACAGTCAGAGTGCACGGTTGGGTTAAGCCCAACACTAACCCTTGATTGGGCTCAGGTGGAAGCCTCAGGGCCCCTACTGGATTCAGTTGAATCCCAGATTGCATTGCTTTTGACCATGTCGTGGTGTAGTGGTATAGGGTGTAGGGGCCTCGTAGCCTGGTGGATAGCGCGCAGGACTTGTAATTCTGTGGCGCGGGTTCGATTCCCGCACGAGGCAGAAACAAATGGGCAAAGTTTCTTTCACCCTGAATGCCCCTGTTACCTAGCAGTAAATAGGTACCTGGGTGTTAGTCAGCTGTCACAGGCTGCTTCCTGGGGGTGGAGGCTTGGTCGAGGACCGGGCCGCGGGGACACTAAAGCCCCGAAATCATCTCAAGATAACCTCAAGATAGGGTGTGGACTTGTGAGTTCCAAGTGTGCGGGTTCGAATCCTCCTCATGGCTCCTACTGATTTTTCCTCATTGGTGATTTTGGTGGGAAATTCAAATCCCAGAACCCATTTGCAAGTTGTGCGAAGATGACCAAACCACACTCCAGAAGATGAAGAGATGACGAGGTTTCGGTCCGTCCTGGACCGTTATGACAAGCGACTTGATGATGGTCCAAAACGGACCGAAACATCGTCGTCTCTTCATCTTCTGGTGATTGGTTTGGTCATCATATCTTCAGCCACGTTACTGTGACTCATCGTCTGCAAGTTGTACTGAATACTTAAATGTTATGTAGCATTAATTGAAGGACTGTGCAATAATATAAATTTTTAGTTTTTAATATTATTTTCTGAACAAGGCCTCCTTTGTTATGCCCTTGAATCATAACCACAGGTTCACTCAAATAATATTACAGCATGAGAATTAAGAAAAGTTCAGAAAGCCTATTGGGCCATTTGAAGCAGTTCCTATTTATATTCATCCATATGTTTATCTTACACTTGAAATAATCAAGTGAACCCACGACTATTGTGACACCAGTAATTTGTTTCATAGATTAATCACCCTATTTTCAAACCTGTATTTACCCAGGTCTTTCCTGAATCTAAATCATCCATTTGTTTTGTGCCTTCTTTTGTGTTAATATATTTAACACCTAAATAATATCTTTGAGCGTCATCGAGACATACTTTATGAAGTGGTCTAGTGCTGTATTCCAGGAAGCGAGAAGCACAGTAAGCATGCATACCTCAAACTAACACTGGAGAAAGAAACTCGCTACTATGACGTAATATAACACAAACACATCAAACCACCCGACACCCACTGATTGGTTATTGAGATACTAATAATTTTTCTGGGAGGGTTTCCCTCAGTGGCTTATTGAGCCAACCAGATAGCTAACATGGGGAGCCACTGAGAGAGGGACGGGGAGCCACTGAGGGGCGAACCACTGAGGGGGGGGGAGCCACTGAGGGGGGGGGAGCCACTGAGGGGGGGGGAGCCACTGAGGGGGGGGGAGCCACTGAAGGGGGGAGCCACTGAAGGGGGGAGCCACTGAGGGAGGAGCCACTAGAAAAAGGCATTTTGTTACATTTAACGCTGAATTTTGTATTAATGCTCATTGTTCCTTTTATAAATTTAACCAATACTCTGTTGATCTGATTGTTCACTCTGATAAGAGAATTAAGCTTCTTATTATGACATTTTCTTCCTATTTAATTAGCACAGAAACCATGAGCCGGAACGTCCGATTAATGTTTGTTGATGGGCGACAGTATGTTAGTCATTATTTTCAATTAGATTTTATCTTACAGGTAAATAAAATTGGTCGTAAAAACTCATACATTCAACACAAGTTGAGAAAGAGAGAAGCTAAAATTAAAGAGGCTGAAGAAGAAGCAGCCAGAGCAGAAATCCTACTAACAGGTGAGTCACTGGTGCATCGTAACCCACGCTGGTTACCCGTGGTGGGTTGATGATCAAGGCTAAACCCTCTCTTACTGTCAAGGCACTTTAGCTCTGTTGCACATAGTTGGATTTTAACTGTGTTGATTGTAATATGATATAATTTGGCGGTGTGGCAACACATAATGCCAGCAGAGGTTTCTTTTGACAACCCGTTCTCGCACTTGCTTAAAGTCAATATTGGCTTATTTAATAAGTGCATATGTGACATACTAATTGATTATGAATATTTTAGTTTACCTTGAAAAGCTTCATAGAAAACACCGACCTCACCTAACCTTCTTAGTTTGTTAAGATAAGCATCTTATTGCTTCTTAAATACAATTATTACTTAACCTATACCGTTGATAGGTTAAGTAATAATTGTAAATATGAAGCAATAAGGTGCTTATCTTAACATACTAAGAAGGTTAGGTGAGGTCGGTGTTTTCTATGAAGCTTTCCAAGGTAAACTAAAATATTCACAATCAATTAGTATGTCACATATGCACTTATTAAATAAGCCAATATTGACAGTAAGCATGTGCGAGAAAGGGTTGCTTTTGAAGAGGTCAGTATATCAGTGAAAAACAAGTGTGGGAAAGCTTCAGATTTTGATGAGATTTTTGGAGAAGTGATACAATAAAATATGGAAAAGAGAATGGAATAAATATGGAAAATTTGTCAGATATATTGGGGTAGCTGTATCATGCCAGGTAATGGAAAATAGCTATGGTTGTATCACTTTATAAAAATAAAGGGGGAACGTAGTGAGTGAAAGAGTTACATAAACATCAATCTACTAGTTGTATGGCAGGATAGTGATTGGAAGATGTGAGGTGAGAGACAAGATTTTATCACCCCACAGAGCAATTGCTTTCATTTGAGAGCATATGTAATGATCATGCTCTGCAGTTAATTATTTACGCACATTTCAAATTTTTGGGTGACAAATCTATGAGATGAGACATGCGTCAAAGTTTGTTAGCCCCTGCACCCTTGGCATGTGAAGCTCCTTGTGCCTATAACATATTTGGCCACAAGGAATAAGTAGGGACACTATGGTAAAGATAACCAGTAGTGTGAAGCTCCTTGTGCCTATAACATATTTGGACACAAGGAATAAGTAGGGACACTATGCTAAAGAGAACCAGTAGTGTACAGGAACTCACTGGGCCCTAGCACATGATTAGCCTAGCTATTTGAAGATCATGGCCTCTTGGGTGAGTGCCTCCACTCACATGGGATTCTCGCCACAGTCGCCTTCAGGGGCACAAAGTTAGTCATAGGCCTTCATGCCTTGATCAGGTAGTAAGCCTCTGGGACAATGTGTAATACAATGCAATAAGGTTTTGTCATCATCTTGAGGAAGTGATAGATGTAAACTGCTGTGAGAGTCAATTGCACCCACCTGAACCAATTGAATTCATAGGCCTGAATAAAAGTTGCAGCACCTGCAAAAGTCCACAAACGTGAAGTCCGTCCATGGTAGGAAGAATGTGTATTGACAGGACCACCATGCTGTTATATCACGAAGATCTCTACAGGTGGTAGAGGCCAGTTGAGGAGGGCAAACTTAACTCTGTCGTGAACTTTGCCAACTTGACTCCCACAAGCTGTTGCTCTTATATGCTGCAAGTGTGGGAGTGGTCCCTCTACAATGTCATGTTCTGTAATCATGTCAACATAAAGAGGGTGCTGAAAACTGTGAAGCCAAGTGAGATGTGTGTTCATGAGTGAAGTGATACTGCCGGCCACAACTACCATGTGTTTGTGAGTGTGTGTCTGGTTGTTTTAATACCTACTTGGAGTTAGAGGATGAGAATTAAGCTCATGTGTGAGGAGTTGGTGAGAACAAATATTTTGATTGTGTTGCATAATGGAGAGTTTTCTTGAGGCATTTTGATGTCTGCTTAGACATGCATAATCCAGGACAGAAGCTTGTATAATATAACTTGACTCAACTTTCCATATACAGAAACAAGTGGCGAGTTAGTGGCACAAGAAGATTCATACACTTCCCATATTACACAAAGGGACATCAAGGATGCTGTTGACATTACTTCAGCTGCCAAAAGCTTTGATCTTAAGCTTAACCATTTTGGTCCCTATAAGTAAGTGATTTACTACTTTGTATATTAGTCACATTATTACAAAAATTTAAATATTGCATTATGAACAAATCCGCAAGGGCCGTGACGAGGGTTCGAACCTACGTCCGAGAGGATCCCAGACGCTGCCTTTATCGATTGAGCTACGACATGGTTAAAGCCATTGTGGATTTGTTCACTTGATGCATCACGCTATTGCGATTTCTGTGTGCAGTACTGTATTGTGAGAATTTAGGATTGAATTACGAGGCCAAAATCTGTATTGAAATTAATTTGTCTGTATAATTTCTCTGCTTCTTAAACACTTTAAACTGTTTCATTAATTAGGATGCAGTTCACCCGAAATGGCCGACATCTCTTGTTGGGAGGAAGAAAGGGTCATTTAGCAGCCATGGACTGGGTTACAAAAAAGCTCCACTATGAAATCAATGTCACGGAATCCATCCATGACGTTTGTTGGCTCCACACGGAGCAGATGATGGCCGTTGCACAGAAGCAGTGGGTGTACATATATGATAACCAAGGAATTGAACTTCACTGTCTAAAAAGGATGGATAAAGTTCTGAAGCTGGAATTTCTTCCATATCATTTTCTCCTATGTACCGCTGTAAGTTTGATGTTCATATCACAACTACCATGTGCTTGTTGAGCTTTGGCCTTGAGAATCACCAATATGAGAGTACTTGCTTCCCTTGATTCATGTCAGGGATGCGTCTTAGACAATCGGGATGTAAATCGAAATGACATGAATTAAAAAAAAAAACATAAGCTCCTGCCTGGGCCTTGGAGCCCTTGGGGCAGGATTTGTTGTTGCAGGGTTCAAGGTCTTCGTATCCCCTTTCCCAATATGAGTTTGATTTGAGTTTGCCCTTTCCCCCCAAACTCGCCTCTTCTTTACGCTTGTAAAGAAGAGGTGGTTCAAACTCATCTTTACGCTTGTACTCACCTAGTTGTGCTTGCGGGGGTTGAGCTTTGGCTCTTTGGTTCCGCCTCTCAACTGTTACTCAACTGGTGTACAGATTCCTGAGCCTACTGGACTCTATCATATTTACATTTGAAACTGTGTATGGAGTCAACCTCCATCACATCACTGCCTAATGCAGTGATGTGCATTAGGCACTGACAAAAGTTCTGAAAAAGTTCTTTCTAATGTCTCTGTGGCTCATTTGGGTATTCAGTTTCCACCTGCGTCCCCTTGTTTGTGTTCCGCCCATGCCAAAGAGTTTCTTTGTCCACCCTGTCAATTCCCCTGAGAATTTTGTAGGTGGTTATCATGTCTCCCCTTACTCTTCTGTCTTCCAGGGACGCGAGTTTCAGCTCCTTTAGCCTTTCCTCGTATCTCATACCTCTCAGTTCCAGGACGAGTCTGGTGGCATACCACTGAATATTCTCTTTGTCTTGTGTTTAACTAGGTATGGACTCCAAGCTGGAGCTGCATGTTCCAGGATTGGTCTGACATAGATGGTATTCAGGGGCCTGAACGATTCCTTACATTAGTTTCTAAAGACAGTTCTTATGATGGTCAGTCTAGCATATGCTGCTGAGGATATCCTTTTGATGTGGGCCTCTGGGGACAGGTTCGGTGTGATATCAACCCCCAAATCTTTCTCTCTTTTTGACTCTTTTAAGGATTTTACCAACCAGATGGTACCTTGTGTTCAGCCTTCTGCTCCCTTCGCCTAATTTCATTACTTTGCACTTTCCTGAGTTGAACTTTAGTAGCCATTTCCTTGACCAATCCTCCAGCCAGTCCAGGTCATCCTGTAGTCTCTGTCTATGGTATCTGGAACCAGAAGGGTGTCCCTGTGTTTTTCCTTGTCTTTGGGTAGTTAGCTTCGGGGAGCCAATGGGGCTTCCCGCAGAAAACCAGCGTTGAATGTAATGAAACGCCATTTTCTGGGTGAGACTCAGAAGCTTCCCGGCATCCTTCCCTCTCTCCGGTCAGCGGTGTTTTAGTGTTTTTTTGCATCCAGCCTAAGAACTGCTGGTTGGATCGCTGGCACGAGGGTCTGGGGCTCCCCCTTTCCCCTCCCAAGGAGGGGGGGTTGCGCAGACAGCGGCGCGTCAATGTGGTGACGTCATGCTCGTTTGCTTATTTTTGTTTGGGGAGTTCTGTCCACTCGTTCGACTTTTGGTAGCAATATTTTCACCAGAATAGGGGTTTGTTTTGGGGCTCCTACCTTTCTGGGTGCCAGACCTGGTTGATGGCAGACATAGAATGCTCCCAACCACACGGGGGTTTCTATAGGCCATTGCTCCTCGTGCCTCTCTGAGAGGGCCAGGTTCTGGCTTGTGGTCCCTGGTAGGCATAACTCCATGCACTTTGACTGATGCCAGAAAGCTAATAGTTACATAGCTTGGATAGCTCCAGGGAGCCTCCGGGTCTCGCCCAGAAAATATCGTTTCATTATATTCAACGCTGGTGTTTTGGGTCATTGTGCATTTAAATTACTGCATTTCTTGACTTTTTAAGTACAGTACTGTATATATATACAGTAGATATTAGATATAAGATACAGTAGCTAGGCCTTTCTAAGCTTAAATTTGTATTATTATTTAATACATAGTTACTGACTTACTGTCATGCCAAATGTATTCTACTGTTCAGTTTTTATTAACTGTTGTATGAACAGATGGTAAGACGAGATTTATAAACAAATTAATCAACCATTATGCCCATTGAAAAACCACTAGGATTTTAAGTAACAGGCTTTCTTTGTTAAATAAAAGAACATGATTTTTCTTCACACTTAGAATTGTATCTACAAACTAGAAAGGAGAAAGATATTGTTTGGAATTTGCAAAAATGGATTTAGGTTAATATTCTTTTCCTCAGAATGAGACGGGATATTTGAGCTGGCTTGATGTGACGTTGGGCAAGGAAATAGTTCAAGTCCCCACACAAAAGGGCCGCCTGGAAGTGGTGTGTCAGAACCCATACAATGCAGTGCTGTGTTGCGGCCATTCCAACGGGACGGTATCAATGTGGACACCTAACAGCCGAGAAGCTGTGGCCTCCATCTTGTGTCATCCTCATCCCATAAAAGCAGTAGATGTTGATCCCACGGGCAGGTATTGACTCTTGCTTTGTTACATTCAATAATTATATTCTGTGCCATATTTGCTTGGGGATAAGACACACGTTTTTGGTTCACCACTAAGCAAATATATATACACTGGATTTACATGCACAAAACCATGTTTCCCCAACAAAAGAACTTAAAGCTTATTAAATGTATGGTGAAACATACAAAAAAAACATCCCCACATACTAGTAATGTATTATTCTTTTAAAACTGTTGAGTTTTATACACCAGAAAATACGGTATGTAGCTTTAACTTATAGAGTTATACAATGGGTAGATTACACACGTCTCACATGATGCAGGAATGCTTTGTGTACATTGGCCTAGGAACAGAGATGGAAGGTGGCGGCTCAGTTGTGTAGTGTATACATAGTTCTCAATTTCCAGTTTTTTTATGAACAATTTCTGAATTTGCCCTTTGTCAAGTTTCTTCCAATTAAGATTGCTTGGAGCGCCTATCTTTCGCCTATCTATCACCTATCGGCCTATCTAGCGCCTATCTATTGTTGCTTTAATCTATGGATGGACCTCTTTGTGACCTCCAAGTATAAATTCTGGAGACAGGTTTAGCATATACCTAGTTCCCCCAAAATAGCATATACCTAGTTCCCAAAACCAACATATACCTGGTTCCCAAAACCAACATATACCTGGTTCCCAAAACCAACATTATACCTGGTTCCCAAAACCAACATTATACCTGGTTCCCAAAACCAACATTATACCTGGTTCCCAAAACCAACATTATACCTGGTTCCCAAAACCAACATTATACCTGGTTCCCAAAACCAACATTATACCTGGTTCCCAAAACCAACATTATACCTGGTTCCCAAAACCAACATTATACCTGGTTCCCAAAACCAACATTATACCTGGTTCCCAAAACCAACATTATACCTGGTTCCCAAAACCAACATTATACCTGGTTCCCAAAACCAACATTATACCTGGTTCCCAAAACCAACATTATACCTGGTTCCCAAAACCAACATTATACCTGGTTCCCAAAACCAACATTATACCTGGTTCCCAAAACCAACATATACCTGGTTCCCAAAACCAACATTATACCTGGTTCCCAAAACCAACATTATACCTGGTTCCCAAAACCAACATTTTACCTGGTTCCCAAAACCAACATTATACCTGGTTCCCAAAACTCATTCTCATCAGTGTCCAGGAGGTCTATAATTATTTGTTTAGTTCCCAGAGTCATTTAATTTTCAAGCTTTTATATTTGTTCACAGGTATATGGCTACAGCAGGAGTTGATAGACTACTGAAAATTTGGGATGCACGCAACTTGGGAGACTGTCTGCAGTCTTATAGCATTGGGTCTGGTGCTTCGTCCGTACAGTTTTCCCAGAAAGGCTTATTGGCTATATCTATGGGCAATATTGTCGAGGTCTGTGGCATGCTTAATTATCTACCATCAAATATATATTGCAGTATATTTCATGAATACATTTTTTCTGGGGAGAGCCCCTACTGCTCTGTGGAGCTTATCCAGGCTGATATTGCTATATTAGACTTTGGCATCAGTAATGTGAATGGAGTTCTTTGGCCTCCCGGGGACCACGAATCAGAACTTGGCTCCCTCAGAAAGGCACGAGGAGCAGTGGCCTATAGAAACCCCCCATGTGGTTGGAAGCATTCTATGTCTGCCATCGACTGGATCAGGCACCCAGAAAGGTAAGCGCCCCAAAACAAACCCCGATTCTGATAAAGAAATTGCTACTGAAAGCTGAACTAGTGGACAGAACTCCCCAAGTAAAAACGAGCAAATGAGCATGGCGCTGCCGTCTGCACAGCTCCTCCCTCCTTCCCTCTCCAGGAGGGGCAAGGGGGAGCTCCAGACCCCAGTTCTGAGGCTGATGTGCTAGGCTAAAGTCATGTGCTCTGGCTCCTGATTTGTCTCCAGCTCTGTGCCTTGTAGTGTGGAGGCTGTTACTTGGGGAGTGCGCGAACCAGGAGTACTGTATTCTCTTCAGTACTCGGGCTGTATGCTCCTAGGGATACCTTCCCTAGGTGCCTGGTAAGTACCTAGGGGTTTGGTATTTACTTGTGGAAGATGGCCCCTTGGGGCCACCTTCCACAAGTTCCTTGGGTTCTGCCTCTGCTAGGTCGTTTGCTGCTCGGCATTCAGCTACCCTATGTGTGTTGTGTGTTGGGGTGTTTCTTTGCACCCTTGTTTGCCTTAGGGTAAGAGGTAGTTTGCACTGGTAGGGGAGCAGGGTACTGCGCAGCTAGTTGTCACCTCTCGTAATGGTCGGCTCTGTTCCGCCTGGGTATGTTGTCCTCTTGCGGGGTTTTATTTTTGTTTTTGTTTTCTCTGCCTGGTGGGAGGGGGCGGGGGGGTTCTGCCATTGTTTGGTTGCCCATCTGTATGTCTATATAGATTCTGTTCTTCTGGTGGTATCCCCTGCTAGGATATTCCGTTGAATGGACATGTCCCGGGGGTTCAGCTTCTAGAAAGTTTGTTGGTAGACTTGGGCGCCGGTTAGCAGTACCCTGCCTGGGCATCCCTGAGTATGAGTTCCATCTCAGGACCCTGGGAATTTCCACTGGGGCGCGTGGGTCCGACGGATGTGACCCCTGAGTCCCCCCCTCCGTTTTGTGTGAGTTTGAGGGTTGCTTTGTTCCCTTGTCTCAGGGTGACTCAGAGTTTTTGCCTCCATCACGCTGCCTGCTGGGTCGGTGACACCTTCGACCCAGAGTCCTGCGAGTTTTGTTGCTTGTTTGTGACTCAGTTATCCAGTCCACTGATGACTATTCAGGTACCGACAGTGCAGGCGTTGCACATTAGGTTCAGGTTGTTGTAACGTGATAAGTTGATTGCTTCCCTGGAAGCCCCGAGGCTGCCCCGTTTTGGTTATAGGGACCCGGACTTGAGGGTGTTGGTCGCTTTGGCCTTGGTTCAGTCCGCACCCCCCTCATCCTTCCCCTGCTGTGGTTTGGTCCGATCCTCCCATCCCTGTATCCAACTTCGAAACGTCTGAGGGTTTTGGGGTCGGGGCAGGGTTTAGATGGTCTTGAGACTTGGGCAGTCTTGGGATGCCCCTTCCGGGGTAGCGACAGAGGCATTCGAGTCGGTTCTCCCTACCAAAGCGTTTTGTCTGACCAGTGGGCCCCCTTTCTTCTGGCTTTTACAGGTGCACCGGCCTTTTCTTTTGAGGATGGGGCTTTGGGGGACGACTCGGCCCCGGGTCCTGATGTGTTGTTCCCAGGGCTGGGGAGGGCTGACTTGGGGACCTTGGGGCCTAGTTGGACCCCGACTTTGTTTTTCTACCCTCTGAGCGGGGCTTCTTGTTGCAAGGAGTGGGGTTTCTTCCCCCCTTCCCCCTTCGTATTGGATTTGATGTCTGCCCCTTCCCGGGTTCGGTTCTGTGTCCTTTTGGGTGCTTTGGTCCCGTCTTTCCGGAGGTTTTCGGCATCCCGCTTCATGTGGTGCGGAAAGCCTTTGCGGTTTACCTCCTGTGCGACCTGGATTACACCTCGTATCATGGATCTGTCTTTGTTTCCCTACTGGATTCGTTATGGAGTTCCGGAGTTGTCCTGGCTAGCGGATTGTCCTGTGTTTTCATCGGAGGCTTGGCATACGTTCTGTCATTCCCGCATGCTTGAGTGGCATGAATCGCTGGTGGTGGTCCAAGTTTTCCTGTGGGGCAGGTTTGAGCACCTCAGTGCGTGCTTGTTCGCCCCGGCCCTTCTTCAGAATGTCTGCATCGTGTAGCGTCATGTGCAGGTTTCCTCCCTTTTGGCTGCTCTGGTTGCTGAGGACTTGCGCGCTCGTGGCTTGCTGGCTTCGGTCTTGTGGTTATTTTCCCTCCTGGAGCTGTCTGCGGATTTACTTGAGGAGGATGTGGAGGCACTTAGAACCGTTCCTGGGTCTAGTGCCTTGGGCTCAGCTGCGCATGCGTCGTCTGCTCTGTTGAAGCTGTTTGCGCCAATCCTGCAGGATTCAGTGTCTCCATTTTGTGCTTCTCGGCTCGCGTGTAGGCAGGTGGTGCTTGCTTCCTGCTTGGAATCTGCTTGGGCTCTGGCCCTTAGGTTGTCTTCGCCCTTTTGTTCCTTGCTGTTTGCAGATTCTGTGATTGAGCAGTATCTGCGGGTAGCTTCTTCTAGTTGTCATCCAATGTCGGAGTTATTGGTTCTCCGGGGGTCCCGGAGGGGTCGTGCTAGGGCTTGGGGTTCCGCTCGTCGTGGTAGGCCACTGATATCAGTTTCGTAGCCGGCGCCGCCTTTGGACGCCTCTGCCTCTGGTTATCTTGAGGTTATCTTGAGATGATTTCGGGGCTTTAGTGTCCCTGCGGCCCGGTCCTCGACCAGGCCTCCAGCACAGTGGTCGGCACAGTGTTCAACCTGTGTGTGGGTCGGGTTCTCGTAGGGGGCATTGACCCTTTCGTGGTTCATCCCATTGACGGGGTGAGGGGGGGAAGGCTCGCTCTGGTTGCTCATGCCTGGTCTCACGCTTCGTGGAGTGTTTCGGGTCGCTTCATCCGGCTTGTGGTGGCGTTGGGTGGCCCCTTCTCCTTCGGGAAGTTCGGGGCTGGCGGGGCAGGCCTCTTCTCCTGCGCTCTGTCGGTCATCTCAGAATAGGTGCACTTGGGCGTTGTCGAAATGAAGACCATGCGTTTTTACACATGTTCACCCCATGTCCCCTCCTGGGGAGGCGGGAGCTGCACAGATATGCAGCGAGGCTCGTGTGACATCATGCTCGTTTGCTCGTTTTTAATTGGGGTGATCTGTCCACTCTTTAGTCTTCTTTAGTTGTTTTAACCAGAATAGGGGTTTGTTTTGAGGCACTTACCTTTCTGGGTGCCTGGACTGGTCGATGGCAGACATAGAATGCTTCTAATCCCATGTGCATTTCTATAGGCCATTGCTTCTCGTGCCTCTCTGAGGGGGGACAGGTTCTGGCTCGTTGTCCCTGGTAGGCCTAAGAACTCCATTCTCACTGATGCCAAAGTCTAATGATATACATATCATGGTCATCACATCTTTATCAAAGCTTATCTGAAGCCAATAAAGTTTTCAGAAAAAATAGAGAATCAAAGATATTCAGTGAAACTGGCAGACTAAAAGATTACTCTATTACAGATATATAGAAATGTGACGACAGGAGGAGCCAGCACGCCGTACATGCGTCACAAATCGGGCGCCATCATAACAGACATGCAGTTTTGCCCATATGAAGATGTTCTTGGTATTTCCACATACCAAGGCTATTCCAGTCTGATTATACCAGGTACAGTTATAGCCAAGATGTGGTAGAGCCAAACATGTTTAGTAGCATAAACTACTACTTAAAATGTTCTCACTGTAACTTTCTTCACTCTAGTCATGTGCATGTTCAGGTGATTGCCCTGTGTTACATGTGTTCATCCCGCCGACTCGCACCGTAAAACACCCATTCTCAGGTACCTCATTCCTCTCATCCTCACTCCTTCCTCGCTCCTTCCTCTTGCCCTTCACCATTCTCCATCATTCCCTCATACTCCCTTCCTGCCCCATCCTCCTCCACACCTCCCTCTCTGATTGTCCTTTAGTCTTGGCGATTGATTCATTTGTCTTCAGACTCTTCCTGCTTTGCTTGGTTGAGGAGTTTTTAGCCTTCCATCATCAGCCGTTGTGTGGTGGAAGGATTCATCATGCTCTCTCGTTGTTGCTGTCAGTCGTTATTTGCAGACTACTTGGGGTTCTAGTGCATTATGGGGCTTGATAATGGTCCAGAATTGACCAAAAAGTTGACAATTCCTATAATTTTAAATTTGTCGGTTGGATGTCTAATTTCTGCCATGTTATTTCAACCATGTTAACCTCATCCTCACTATTTCATCCATTTCAACCATGTTCAAATCCAGGGATCCCATCACAATGGTTGTACTCTTCAAGTCACTTGTGTTGTCCCATCTTGAGTACTGCTGAGTACTCACTTTCCCCTTCAGAGCAGGAGAGATTGCTGAAATACAGGGAACACAGAGAACATACACGGCACGCATAGACGCATAAAACACCTAAATTATTGGGATCGTCTCAAAGCTCTCCAAATGTACTCACTAGAAAGAAGACGAGAGAGATATCAAATAATATACACATGGAAGATATTGGAGGGCCAAGTACCAAATCTACACAGTAAAATAACAACGTACTGGAGTGAACGATATGGAAGAAAATGCAGAATAGAACCAGTGAAGAGCAGGGGTGCCATAGGCACAATCAGAGAACACTGTATAAACATCAGAGATCCACGGTTGTTCAACACCCTCCCAGCGAGCATAAGAAATATTGCCGAAACAACCGTGGACATCTTTAAGAGGAAACTAGATTGTTTCCTCCAAGGAGTGCCGGACCAACCGGGCTGTGGTGGATATGTGGGCCTGCGGGCCGCTCCAAGCAACAGCCTATTGGACCAAACTCTCACAAGTCAAGCCTGGCCTTGGGCCGGGCTTGGGGAGTAGAAGAACTGCCAGAACCCCATCAACCAGGTATCAACCAGGTTATTGTGACATATTGTTTGCCTCTGTATCGTGTACTATGAACCCTTAATTAATTCTTTGGTGGGTGAAATGAAGTTAGCTTTATATCTGCTTTCGTGCACATGACTTTGATACAAGTACAAGCATTGTCCTCTGCTATGTCTACAGCCAATATAAGACTCCAGGTGCAGAATATAATCACTGTAATGTGGTTGAATTTTTAGGCTCTAGGGTGTATGCTGATTTAACAGTCCTTATCGCAAGGAATCTTGTGAATCTTTGCCAACTTCCGGTGTGTCATTGGGGTGAGTTTCCCCAAAACCCGGTAAGTGGTAGGACTGCCATCTGATTGTGGGTCAACCAGGTAATCAACCAGGTATCAACCAGGTATTGTATGAACAGTCAACTTAACAAACGCTTCAATAGTTTTGAGTTTTTTGGGACAGTATAATGTTGCTAAACATTACATGAAGGGAGTTTGTTTATTTTGATAAATTTCTGTATCATAGGGAATGTTTTTTTGTTTGTGGATTGGTTTTTGTTCCCCACATGCTCCTTGCCTTGTATGAGAGGTTCAGATATACTTTGAAAATGTACAAAGGTCCTCAGTTGGGTGAAAGGGTTACCTTAGAGCCTGGTGTATTCACAGTGCTCTGGCTGAGCTAGTGTACTCGGCAATAGAAGCGATCGAGGTGTTTTCCCGACAGGAACGTTTCATTACACTTAACACTTATTTATTTAAATATCTTCTCCTTGGGTTTTTGTTGAGAGATGAGTCTAAAATTGCTTAGGCATAACCATTGAATTAGGTTGACCATAATTATTTATATTTTGTTACTCTTGAAAGAAGTTGTTGTAGAGAAAATGTTAAGCAAAGGTGTTCTAATTTTCACAAAGCACTTGGGGTCCAAATTTCCCACAGTGGTCTGTGCAACTTCAAGACTGATAAATATTGTGTATTAGTAGTGTTAGTAACATTGCTTTCAAAGGTATATTAAATCAAATATTTGATGTTAATCCTATCACACATCTCCATTTCTAGGTGCTGGTGAACCCAATTTTGATGCCTTGGAAGCCAACCCGTATATAAGTGTATCAGGTCGTAGAGAAGCAGAAGTCAAGGCTCTTCTCTCCAAAGTTCCATCATCTCTTATTACCCTTGATCCACTTAGTATTGGTCAGGTGAGTTTTATGTGGATGGTAATAATATTATTATTATACGATCGGGCAAAAGCACAGACCGAGCCAGTATGACTATATAGCACGTAAAAAGGATATGAGTGCAGGATAGAAGGTGGGATGTAATGACAGAGAAAGGAATGGTGTCCAACCACTTGGACCATCGGGGATCGAGTGCCAACCCTGCAAGGAGCGAGGTCATGGCTACCAGCCATTACAAGTGGATGGACCCAGCTGGATGTTAATCCAAGTAGGAACTACAATTGTTTCCCATTATCAATCCATTAAAATAGGGTCAATCGGGGAGAATTTTGTTTACCTCAATCTTTATATTTTTTGGAATAGTGGCAGTGATGGTTGTAATGTATGTTTTTGTACAACTATGACGATCTTAACACTATTGGTCTCTTCAGACCAGACTCGCGTCCATTATTTTTCTCATGAATCCTAGCTTTGGACCGGACTTGCGTCCACTACAAAAATATTTGTATAAAAATCATTTTTTATCCGATCGACCTCGGGATAGTTTCAAAATAAGCGCCTTTAGAATGCGCACAGTTTGATACCAAAATGAAAGATGTAACACGTAACTTGATGTCAGAACACTTGAAAGATTATAAATACGTTTTTGGGTCTAAATTTTAAAATATTTGTTAAAATTCTATTTATTGTGCTATTATTATGGGACTAGTTTTAAAATGCGCGCCTTTATATTGCGAACAATTTGATACCAAAACGAGCGATGTAACATGAAATTTTATGTCAGATCACTAGAAATATATACTTAATTTTGATGATGAGAGTCCAAAATTAAAATATTTGTTAAAATTCCAGTTATTGCTCTATTATTATGGGACTAGTTTTAAAATGCACGCCTTTATTTTGCGAACAATTTGATACCAAAACGAGCGACGTAACATGAAAATTGATGTTATCAAATTGAACGAGTATACACATTAGGCTGTCGGGTGCAAATTGGTGCTCGTTCACGGGTAACTTTAGGCTTTGCCGCAGGGAGTCTCGCCAGGCTTTTGGACATTATATGCATATACACCTGCAGGGAATTTAATTGCGAACACAATGATACCAAAACGAACGACGTAGTATGAGAATTAAGGTGAGAAAACTGAAACGAGTATACACATTTTACTGATTTTGTGCGCTCACGGGTAACTTTTCTGACTTTAGACTTTGCTGTGGGAAGTCTTGCCATCCCTTAACCACTCGACCAACACGACCAGACAAAAAGAGGATGGTAGCCGAGGCTAATTCCCCATCCCCCCGCCGGCACTCTGTTGGTAATCTTGGGCATGGTATTTTATCAAATCACCTCATTCTTTGGGGCACACGGGAGGAACACAAATCCGAACAAGCCTGAACGGTCTTCAGGCATATATGCAACTGAAAACTCACACCCCAGAAGTGACTCGAACCCAAGGAACTTCTTTTCGACGGCTTATAAAACAGAGGAAAGGGTCCTGAAAGATTGTTGATAGGAACATTATCCCTACAGACAAAAATCAGAAAATACAATTGACAATTTATTATAAAACCGAAAAAACGTCAAATCTACGCATGAAAAACTCTCCAGATACCAAGCAGAACGCCTTAAAGGAGACCAACGTTGTCTATGCCTTTAAATGCCCACTTGAGGTTATCTTGAGATGATTTCGGGGCTTTTTTTTAGTGTCCCCGCGGCCCGGTCCTCGACCAGGCCTCCACCCCCAGGAAGCAGCCCGTGACAGCTGACTAACACCCAGGTACCTATTTTACTGCTAGGTAACAGGGGCATAGGGTGAAAGAAACTCTGCTCATTGTTTCTCGCCGGCGCCTGGGATCGAACCCAGGACCACAAGTCCATCGTGCTGTTCGCTCGGCCGACCGGCTCCCTGTACTGTACTGCTGAGGACTGTAAGCCCTAAAGAACTTAGCATATAGGCAAGACAACAACGTCTCTTTCCAAGCAATTAACAATGCATAAGCAACAGGGTTTCATCAAGGAACATATAATCTCTTCTCACAACCAGACCATCACCAGAGAAATCTTAACAAACAACACAGAAATCATCGATAGGTACAGTGATAGCAGGCGGCTTGATATCAGCGAGGCACTACACATCAAAACGTCAACACCAGCAATCAACAACCAATTAATGCACAACTACATTGTACCCACTTCAAGACCCTGAACCAATATAGAAGCAGCAAGAGGAAGGATGGGCCAATAGGCCTTCTGCAGTTACTTCCATTCATATGTTCACTTATCCAATTTATACCCATTGTTTCGTGTTCTGTCTTGTGTTTGTCACCTCACCCAAAACTTTTGTACCATGTCACCTCATCCAATAGAGTATAAGTACGAAGAATTTGTGTGTAAATTAAGTATTTGAAAATGTAATACGAATTACGAAATGCGTTCAGGCGTCAGACAATTAAAAAAATGAATTTTGGAGAATTGTTATTTTTATTACCACCGACAGTGAAGAAAAACATAAGAAATATTGAGAAAATTCGGGTTAGAATTATTAATCTTTCCTTTTCGGTCATATTCAACAACATATTTATATATATATATAAATGTAATATATATACCCAGTACAGTATATAGTTTGAGTTAAGGCAGTATCACAATTTGTAATCTTTGTAGAGGGCACAAGAGTATTATATACGTGTAAGTTTTAAACTTTTGGTAGTTTTAGGGGTTTAAATAATGAGGACATTGTTGCTCTTGGGTAGCGACTGGACAACTATTTTACACTTTTTGTGAGACTGTCGTCTTTTATGCTTATTTCAAGAAATTGTGTATCATGGGATTGACCTTTCTAATGCAAGTGACTGGAGATTCATATGTAACTCTTGTAATTATTATTAGTTCATAATCATTTTTGTTGTTCTATAGGTTGATACACCAAGACTGCAGGAGAAGTTGGATGCCAAGAATGCTCTCTTACACATCCGCAAGCCAAAAATTGATTTCACTCCTCGCTACCGAATGAAGGGCAAGAGTGGCTCTGCACAAAAATTCAAACGCAAGCAGAAAGTCAAGGAGGATCAGCAGCGTGAATTCCTTCAAGCAGCCATTGCTCAGCGGGACCAACTTGGGTTAGGGAAAGACAAGGAAACAAAGGTGTCGAAACCGGTAGAAATTCTTGACCGCTTTAAGCCGAAGCAACAGGTTAAATCCTGATCATAGTTTCTTAAGGAACTCTTTGTATAATATACAAAATAGTGTATAATGTATTTAAGGGACATGTGCACATTGTTATCCATGATTAATATTTTTTTTTAATTCTGTATTTTTCTTATCCTTTCTGTCCCCGACTTGACTCTGAGTGGAGTCATAACAATTGTGTTGTCATGGAAACACACCACAAAATTTTGCTAGAGATGAGCTTGATTATGTTTCTGGTGAAACGTGTATTTTTAATGCTTGTTCGTGTACGTTTTGTTTTCATCATATCTTTGACAGCCTTTTCTGGCGAAGATGATTAGATGTTCACATCCTAAAGTTGTAAAATATCCAAGCTAGATAATACAATATACAAAGATCATCTACTAATGTAAGGAAGTAATTATCAAAAGAAGGCACCAAACCGGGAAGGCTATGTAGCACCACCAAATGTGCGGAGTAATCAGAGGGCGCTAATTATCATCAAGGATGCCAATACGAGAACAGAAACGCATAAGGCGAACGATATCAAAAGTGTCCGATTCACCGAGAATTCTATCAAGGGACAATTGACGGCGAGGGACGGTCAGAAAGCAAGACACGCTCGTCCTGGAAGTCAGGACATTCAACAAGAATGTGCATGACCGTAAGAGGAACAATGCAATTTGGACAACAAGGAGCAGGACAGCGCTCCATTAAGTGACCGTGAGTTAAACGTGTATGGCCAATATGTAACCCAGCCAGAGCCGTTTCCCACCGCTGGTTATGGTGGTAGAAGGAAGGCCACAGGGACACATGACACTTAAGAGTACGCAGATTGTTACCAGTAACAGAAGACCAACAACCCTGCCAACGGGCAAGGATGGAGGAATGAATAACTGGGTAAAATCTGAATAAGGAATACCTTTACAGGAGATGGGACAAGTGCGGATAGCTTCCTTAGCGGCAGCATCTGCACGCTCATTTAAAGAGACACCAACATGGGTGGGAACCCAGCAAAACTCTACCGACTTAAATTTACTGGATATAAGAAACAGCCAATGTTGAATCTCGATGACCACTGGGTGGACCGGATTAATGGACTCTAAAGCCATGAGGGCACTACGAGAGTCAAATACCACCACAAAGGAGGACTGACAACGAGAAAGCAGATGAAAAACATAGAGAACAGCATAAAGTAATGCTGTGAAGATGCTAGCCTCCGGAGGAAGGCAACACATATAAGTGTGGTCAGGAAAAACAACAGAGTAGCCCACACAGTCCAGCAGACTTAGACCCACCAGTGAAGATGGAAACGGAGTGGGGGTGTGAAGGAAAGTGCTCAAGGAAAAGGGGTTTCTGAACTGTAGGAGGGGTAAAAGCTTTAGTGATGCGGGTCAGGGAAGTACAAAATTTGGGAAGGGGGACCCTCCACAGGGGCAAGGACGGAACAATATTGGTAATATGAACCGAAAGAGAATCTTGTATGCGAGACAAACGGACAGAAAGAGGAAGGTGGTGAAGAGGAACAGGAACTACAGGAGGGGTGAAAGTCAAAGCACGACAGAGGCGAGAGTGAGGATGTTGTAAGGACCGTGCACGATAGCGAAGACAGTAGCGATCACAGCGGTCCTGGAGAGACAGGAAGCCAGTATCAACGTACAAGCTGAGGGTAGGAGTTGAACGAAAGGTACCAGAGCTGAGGCGCAACCCAGTAGGGTTGCTACACCCACCACCTGCAACCTAGCGGGTGGTGGGTGTAGCAGCTGGTGGGTGTTGCGACTGGTGGGTGTAGCGGCTAGTGGGTGTAGCGGCTGGTGGGTGTAGCGGCTGGTGGGTGTAGCGGCTAGTGGGTATTGCGGCTGGTGGGTGTAGCGGCTGGTGGGTGTAGCGGCTAGTGGGTATAGCGGCTGGTGGGTGTAGCGGCTGGTGGGTGTAGCGGGTGGTGGGTGTAGCAGCTGGTGGGTGTAGCGGCTGGTGGGTGTAGCGGCTGGTGGGTGTAGCAGCTGGTGGGTGTAGCGGCTGGTGGGTGTAGCAGCTGGTGGGTGTAGCAGCTGGTGGGTGTAGCGGGTGGTGGGTGTAGCAGCTAGTGGGTGTAGCGGCTGGTGGGTGTAGCAGCTGGTGGGTGTAGTGGCTGGTGGGTGTAGCAGCTGGTGGGTGTAGCGGCTGGTGGGTGTAGCAGCTGGTGGGTATGGCGGCTGGTGGGTGTAGCGGCTGGTGGGTGTAGCAGCTGGTGGGTGTAGCAGCTGGTGGGTGTAGCGGCTGGTGGGTGTAGCAGCTGGTGGGTGTAGCAGCTGGTGGGTATAGCAGCTAGTGGGTATAGCAGCTGGTGGGTGTAGCAGCTGGTGGGTGTGGTGGGTGTAGTAGCTGGTGGGTGTAGCGGCTGGTGGGTGTAGCGGCTAGTGGGTATAGCAGCTGGTGGGTGTAGCGACTGGTGGGTGTAGCAGCTGGTGGGTGTAGCGGCTAGTGGGTATAGCGGCTGGTGGGTGTAGCAGCTGGTGGGTGTAGCAGCTGGTGGGTGTAGCGGCTAGTGGGTATAGCAGCTGGTGGGTGTAGCAACTGGTGGGTGTAGCGACTGGTGGGTTTAGCAGCTGGTGGGTGTAGCGGCTGGTGGGTGTAGCGGGTGGTGGGTGTAGCAGCTGGTGGGTGTAGCGGGTGGTGGGTGTAGCAGCTGGTGGGTGTAGCGGGTGGTGGGTGTAGCAACTGGTGGGTGTAGCTGCTGGTGGGTGTAGCGGCTGGTGGGTGTAGCAGCTGGTGGGTGTAGCAGCTGGTGGGTGTAGCGGGTGGTGGGTGTAGCGGGTGATGGGTGTAGCAGCTGGTGGGTGTAGCGGCTAGTGGGTGTAGCGGGTGGTGGGTGTAGCGGCTGGTGGGTGTAGCAGCTGGTGGGTGTAGCGGCTGGTGGGTGTAGCAGGTGGTGGGTGTAGCAGCTGGTGGGTGTAGCGGCTAGTGGGTGTAGCAGCTGGTGGGTGTAGCGGGTGGTGGGTGTAGCGGCTAGTGGGTGTAGCGGCTGGTGGGTGTAGCAGCTGGTGGATGTAGCGGCTAGTGGGTGTAGCAGCTGGTGGGTGTTGCGGGTGGTGGGTGTAGCAGCTAGTGGGTGTAGCGGCTGGTGGGTATAGCGGGTGGTGGGTGTAGCAGCTGGTGGGTGTAGCGGCTGGTGGGTGTAGCGGCTGGTGGGTGTAGCGGCTGGTGGGTGTAGCAGCTGGTGGGTGTAGCGGCTGGTGGGTGTAGCGGCTGGTGGGTGTAGCAGCTGGTGGGTGTAGCGGCTAGTGGGTGTAGCGGCTAGTGGGTGTAGCGGCTGGTGGGTGTAGCGGGTGGTGGGTGTAGCGGCTAGTGGGTGTAGCGGCTGGTGGGTGTAGCAGCTGGTGGGTGTAGCGGCTAATGGGTGTAGCAGCTGGTGGGTGTAGCGGCTAGTGGGTGTAGCGGGTGGTGGGTGTAGCGGCTGGTGGGTGTAGCGGCTGGTGGGTGTAGCAGCTAGTGGGTATAGCGGCTGGTGGGTGTAGCAGCTGGTGGGTGTAGCAGCTGGTGGGTGTAGCGGCTGGTGGGTGTAGCGGCTGGTGGGTATAGCAGCTGGTGGGTGTAGCGGCTGGTGGGTGTAGCAGCTGGTGGGTGTAGCAGCTGGTGGGTGTAGCGGGTGGTGGGTGTAGCGGGTGATGGGTGTAGCAGCTGGTGGGTGTAGCGGCTAGTGGGTGTAGCAGCTGGTGGGTGTAGCGGGTGTAGAGGTGCAACAGGTACTCTGAGAGAGAACTCTATCAACATCAGAGGCCCGAGACTGTTCAATACGCTTCCACTACACATAAGGGGCATAACTGGCCGACCCCTCACAGTGTTCAAGAGAGAACTGGATAAGCACCTCCAAAGGATACCTGATCAACCAGGCTGTGACTCATACGTCAGGCTGCGAGCAGCCGCGTCTAACAGCCTGGTTGATCAGTCCAGCAACCAGGAGGCCTGGTCGACGACCGGGCCGCGGGGACACTAAGCCCCGGAAGCACCTCAAGGTAGCCTCAAGGTAAGGTGGTGGGTGTAGCAGCTGGTGGGTGTAGCAGCTGGTGGGTGTAGCGACTGGTGGGTGTAGCGGGTGGTGGGTGTAGCAGCTGGTGGGTGTAGCGGCTGGTGGGTGTAGCAGCTGGTGGGTGTAGCAGCTGGTGGGTGTAGCGGGTGGTGGGTGTAGCGGCTGGTGGGTGTAGCAGCTGATGGGTGTAGCAACTGGTGGGTGTAGCAGCTGGTGGGTGTAGCAGCTGATGGGTGTAGCGGGTGGTGGGTGTAGCAGCTGGTGGGTGTAGCAGCTGATGGGTGTAGCGGGTGGTGGGTGTAGCGGGTGGTGGGTGAAGCAGCTGGTGGGTGAAGCAGCTGGTGGGTGTAGCGGGTGGTGGGTGTAGCAGCTGGTGGGTGTAGCAGCTGGTGGGTGTAGCAGCTGGTGGGTGTAGCAGCTGGTGGGTGTAGCGGGTGGTGGGTGTAGCAGCTGGTGGGTGTAGCAGCTGGTGGGTGTAGCAGCTGGTGGGTGTAGCAGCTGGTGGGTGTAGCGGGTGGTGGGTGTAGCAGCTGGTGGGTGTAGCGGGTGGTGGGTGTAGCAGCTGGTGGGTGTAGCGTGTTACGGGAAGTTTCTTTTATCGTGTTATTGCGTCGCAACTGAGTATAAGTGTACTTAAGTACAAGATCGAGTTACTTAAGTACTTAAGTTTGTACTTAAGTACAAAGAGCATAAGTGCTTAAGAGTAATGCTTTATTACTCAGTGTTACAAGGGGAACGACGTTAACGACCACGCAGGTTGTTAACGACCCACACGGCGTAGCTCGTCCAGTGGCGGGAATTCTGATGGCCAATCAGAATCACCGGACGAGGCAATGAGTACAGGTCGGAAGATGGGCAGTACAGTACTCTACACTCTTCCACTATGTCGACATTCCTTAGTTGTGTGTGTGTGTGACCAGCCGTCTGGCGAGATTGCGACGAGGTGATCCACTCTCTTCTGAAATACTACCAGTGGAAGATGGTGACTGTCAACGCCGTAGGGAGTGTTAGAAATCTACCGTTGACATCAGGATAATAATAATATTGAGCCACCTGAGAAGGTAGAAAAGTTCTACAGACATTTGCGGGTCCTGTATATATATATTCCGTCGCGTCAGTGTAGTTGGCT